GATAAGAAGACTCAAATGCAAGAATTCTTTTCCATTTAATTTTGTGCATAATTCCCCAGGTAGCTTAGGTTTTTAAGGAGAAATCCTTCCTATTAGAAGAATAAATTTTATCAAAACAGGTTAAAGCAAAAATCATTTACTTGAGTAATGAAAATGGGTTGCTGTTTTCAAACTTCTTATTGGTATTAGGTGCCATCAAGTTGTCCACACCTCCCAGCACGTGTGTGAAACATGCCCTGTGCCGTTCTCACAGGCCCTGCTGTGCTGGAGCCCACTCCTTTGGGCACAGTGGCAGTCTGCCTCATTGAGGAAGCAGTTAATTAGTGGAATGCCTCCTGCAATAGGATTCTGACATTGATTTCCTTGTTAGTGTTCATGAAGTAATCAATTTTATAATTCACTCCAGTATTTATTTATAAAATACTGTCCTCGTGTTAATGCATGTTTGTTTTAAAATAGTTAAGATTCTTGTTGCATTTGAAGGAACAATCTTTTGGATGTAATGTTGCTGAAGCAATCAGTATTGTCTAACCATGGTTATTTACTATTATTGTTAGATATAAAATCTAATATGCTTAAAATTTTTTTCATATGAAAACTCTTAAGCATTTAGGTTTGCTGTTCTGACATTAAATGAGAATCCCGGAACACTTGATCATGCTTATGCAAAACCTATACTTGGACCAGGAGGCAGTCATCAGAACAGAGCAAGGGAACGCTAATGATTCAAAATTGAGAAGGTTGTGTGCCAGGCATGTGTCCTATCTCCATACCTTTTCCATCCAAATGCGGAACAGATTATCCAAGAGGTTGGGCTCTATGAAGAGAAATGTGGTATCAGGATTGGAGGAAGACTCATCAGCAATCTGCATTATACAGATGATATAACCCTGCTTGCTGAAACTGAGGAGGACCTGAAACACTTGCTGCAGAAGATCAAGGACTGCAGCCTTCAATATGGATTGAGGCTCAATATCAAGAAGACAAAGATCCTCGCCACTGGGCCAATTCGCAACATCAGGATGCATGGTGAAGAGATTGAGATAGTAAACAGCTTTAGTTTGCTTGGCTTCACAATGAACAGTCTTGGCACCAGCAGCCAGGATTTTAAAAGATGTATTGCATTGGGAAAGTCTGCTGTCAGAGACCTCTACAAAGTACTGAAGAATATTGATGTCAGTATGGAAACTAAGGTGTGCCTGATACAGGCCACAGTCTTTGCAGTCACTTGCTATGCATCAGAAAGCTGGCAATGATTAGGGAAGAAGGAGAATTGATGTTTTTGTGCTGTGATGCTGGAGAAGAGTATTGAATATGAACAGGTTGATCCTGGAGAGGGTGAAACCAGGCTGCTTCTTGGAGGCAAAGATTCTGAAGCTTTGTCTGACATACTTTGGACTTGTTGCAAGGTGGGATCAGTCCTTAGGGATGTCATGCTTGGAAAGGTGGAGGAACACAGAAGAGGAAGACACTTGATGAGATGGATTGGTTCAGTCACTGGGGTAATGGGCATAGGTGTGTCAGAGACAATAGGATTGGCACAGGATAGAGCAGGGTTTAGGGCTGTTGAACATAGGGTCGCTGTGAGTCACAGGCAACTTGACAGCACATATAAACAACAAAATATTTTTTCTTTAATCTTCCAAAACATTTATAAAAGTCTGGGGTTTTGTTGTTGTTGTTTTTTTTTTTTTACTTTCTAAAGGAAATACTGAAAAGGTTTAATTCAGAATTAAAAGCAAAGATTTAATGGGAAGGATCCAGGTGAAAAGACAGGATAATGATGAGCAAAGTTCAAGGATGATTAATTTTATAAAACATAATGCATAGAAATGATTCTATGAAACAATATGGATGAAGAAGAGTATGAAACACAATGTACATGAACTTTGTAAGCAAACCAATATAAAATAAAAAAAAGGGGAGAACTACTTCAGTTTGGAGAGATGCTGCCAAAATTAAAATACTGGTGCAAATCTACAAAGGTTTGAATAATGAATGTGAAAATGGTAAATACGGACTTAATAAATTCTGGCGTGAATATATTAATGCTCCATAGGTCTAAAAAAGATGAATCCTCATAAATGCAAATAAGTGAAACAGGTGTATAGTTAGAGAAAGTATCATTTTTAGATTGGCACAGTAGGATTTGTGAATAAATGAATACTAGAGAAACTAGAATGTTTGAGGGTAGACCTAACTTGGTGACGTAAATCTTAATAGATCGCTAAGTTACCAGTGGATGGTTACCTCCACTTTCTGCCATCCCTTATTTGACCTCTTTTCAGCCTCACTCCCTGGAAGAGCAGAAGACCATCAGTAAGTCTGTAGCCCATGGCATTGTCATTCTCATACTCACTAATGTGTCAGGGCCCACCCATTCTCTTTAACACTGAGTACCAGCCACAGTTATTAGCAATTACTTGCCATATACTGTTCACTTTTGTCTCTCAAGACAAATGCAAATGGCAATGTAAATTATTACTTGCCAAGATAGATGTAATAGTAATGAATTAGTAATAGATAAATAGTAATAGATGAAAAAAAGCTTTGTCTTCAAAAATTCTAAGTCCAAAGACTACGGGGGAGTCCTAAATACAATTAGAGAATTAAATAGGACAAGACTGATGAATCTTTGTGATTTAGTGTTGCTATAACAGAGATCAGTAACTGGGGTCATGGAGGTGGTGTGTCGGAGTTAAAGTGAGACTGGCTCAGAATAAGGCAGACTTAAGAGCTGGTGTACAGAGGATTGCCATGATTGCAGGTGACTCGGCGGCACAGAACAACGTAACAGGAATGCTACAGTTGGATGGTTTTGCTGCTGTTGCTGTTCGGTACCATAAAGTCAACTACTACTCACAGTAAGCCTGTGAATGACAGATGTGCACCTTGCCTTACCCTGCGCCGTCCTCACAGTCTCGGTCATGCGCAATCCCATCCATCTCAGGGATGGTCTTCCTCTCTATCCTCACCCTCGACCTATTCCAGCACGATGCATCTCTGTCCTCGGGCTGGTTTCTCCTGAATAATCCCCAAAGTAAGTTGGATAAAGTTTCATTATCCTGCAAGGAACACTGGTTACACTTCCTTCAAGACAGATTTGTTTCTTTTGTCAGTCCATGAGCTATTCAGTACTCTTCACCCAACCACAGTTCAAAGGCATTGATTCTTCTTTGGTGATCCTTATTCATTGTCCACTTTGAGATGCATAGAAAGGAACTGGAAATACCATGGCTTGGTTCAGGTGCACCTTAGTCTTTAAGCTGACGTCTTTGTGGATGGCTTTAGCGAACAGAAGAGTCTTCTCTTACCCTTCAAAAGGCCAAAGAGTCTAGCTCTAGGGAAAGGCCTGTTGTCTCTCTGTGCCTGTTGGGCAGAAAGTCAGAAAGTCCTTGTTTTCTCCAGGATCTGTAAGGCCCAGGGATCCTTGGTGAGCCCCACATGCCCTGACCTTCCTGGTGTCCGAGAGCTTGCCAGGTCAGGGGCCTAGGCTCATAAGGACGCAGTCCACCCCTGTTGGTTATTTATTGGTGGTGCTGAAGGCTCCTCTCACCCAAACTCAATTTCCTCCTTTTTCAACTTAAGGATCATACACTAGAGAAGCTGCTTTCTGTGATGGGTTAAAGAGTATTGCATTTGAACAGTAATCCTCTTGCAACCGTTGGCTTGTCAGACCATGAGGGATCATTGCAATTTTAAGGGAGACAGGTCAGTCCACAGCAAATGGTTGTTCATGTGCAAATGTGAGTTGCTTGGTACCTTGTTGAGGATTTTTGAGGCTACCTTTGATCGCAAGAGGATTTGATGTTATAGCAAACCACACACAGAGATAGTTTTGGTTACATATCCACTGTTTTAAAATTTAAGTATACTCTTTTGTATCTTTCTCTCAAAAACAAGCATAACACACACATCACAGTTTGAAAGAAATGAAAAAGAAAAAGAAAAAAAAACAAGCATAACAAAATTGTGGTGCTGTTTAATTCCTCACACTTCCAGGTTCTTCTCTCCCCCTCCTACCCCCATTAGAAGAGTAAAAGAGGACAATTCTCTCTCTCTCTCAGCCTTGAATGCACTGAACTAAGAACTTAAGATTCAGGAAAGGGGATTAGGAACAAAGTCCTCAAGAGAAAGAACTGAGATGAAAAGGAGAATTTTGAGGCATTTTTCACTTTTAGGGACGTTTCCTTTCTTTGTTCCTGCCTTTCATTCACCTTTGGGTGGGTACCTGATGATGCACTAATTTATTAGTAAGATTGACTCTTAGCAGTCTGAAGGGACTCACCTGATAACAGTTACACTTTATATCAGTAGTCTTCTACCTTCACATTGTTGAACACCTACACGAGACAGAATCTTTAATATTTTCTCACAGGATACTCATTTTCTTTTACAAAATCAGCTCTGGTCTTTCAAGTATCATTTTGTACCATTGTTGAAAACAGTACTTAGCAATAGAACTCTTCCACTCCAGATGCAAAATTCTTTTACCTAAACTTTCTGGTGTCCCCAGTGGTGCTAGTGGTTAGTGTGCACAGCTGCTAACTGGAACGTTCCAGAGGCACCTCTGCAGAAGATCTGGCCATCTGTGTTTGAATGAGAAACCCTGTGAAATACAGGTCTCCTGACACACAGCCACCAGGGTCAGAGCCAGCTTGGGGAAACAAAACCAAACCCTGAAAAGGCTATAGCACCTCACTGTGCTGTGTAAGGCTGTTTAGTATAAAGATAGTGGACCCTTGGGAAGTGCTGCATTAAAAAGCTAGGTTAGTTGAATCTCAAGTAACTTTATTACATTGTTAGTTGCCTCTTCCGAAATCAGTAGTTCATGTGTTAACATTTATCACCTTTACAAAATTCCATTTTTCCTCGTTTAGGCTCGTTTGACTTTGACTTTCCATTTTAAGAGTACTCCACGGGAGGGAGATGCAGATGAGGGAGACGCCGATGGTGCAGTGTGTTTTCACCTTGCATTTCCCACCCTCGTGTCTCTGTAGGAATTGATCCCCCTCATCCTGTGCACAGCGTGTCTGCATCCTGAGCCCAAGGAGAGAGACCAGCTGCTCCACATCCTTTTCAATCTCATCAAGAGACCAGACGACGAGCAGAGGTGGGTGTGCATTCTCTTTCCACATAGATGGAATGTTATCGTTGTTTTTGTGTGCTTTCAAGTCAGAACCAACCCATAGCTGACCCTCCAGCAGGTTTTCAGGGGCAGTTAATTGCTTGGGAGGAGTTTGTGTGTCCTTCTCCTGCAGAGCTGCTGGCGGATTTGAACTACGTGCCTTTGGGATTGCAGCACATCTTCTTAACCACTAGGCCACCAGGACTCTCTCAGTGTAGAATGGACTTAATAATTTCATTAGTTTGGCATTTTCAGTTACTTACTTCTCACCATCGTGCTGTCAACTTGAAATTCGTTTCCAGCTGCAGTATTGTCATCACATTTGCTTCACTCCTCTCTTTGATTATTAAGGCAACCCAGAATTTGCCAAAATAATAAACAATTGAGCACTCATGCTGAGAAATTTAACCCATGGATAATACATAAAACCTAAAGTTAAAATGGCTGTGAAAATATATACACAACCTGCTAAGCTGTCATTACTGATAATTTTTATAGTTTTAATCTTTGTCAAGGGATTTTAGAACTATTTTTCTTACAGTGTTAATGACTTCTCAAGGCTACTGGACAGGAATAATTATTGAAAGATGCTGAATTATTTGTGAGGGATTAATTCATGTTACAGTGATTTTATTTCTATTTAAGCAGTGCTGGGACTTTTCACACTGTGGAAATAAAATAGTATCTTTTAAAATATAAAGTAGGTTTTTGTGTTAAACACCTCTTTCATTTCTGGTAGCAACGCATTTCCTAATAGGTAAGCATCACTGCATCAAAAACAACTTGCTGACACAGAAGTATTTCATGAAACAACTTTTGTTCAAGAGGCAATGGTGATGAAGGAGTAAGTTCAAGCTATTCTGAAGGACCAGACAAAAAATAAGGCCCAAGGAATTGATGGATTACCAACTGACATATTTCAGCAAAGAGATACAACCCTAGAAGAGATCTGTGTTTATTCCCATTCAAAAAAAAGTGATCCAACAGAGTGTGGAAGTTATAGAATGATAACAATATCACACACAAGCAAGATCCTGCTGAAGATTATCCAAAAGCAACTGGAACAATACATAGACACAGAACTACCAGAAAGCCAAGCTAGGTTTAGACGAGGTCATGGCACTAGGGGTGTCATTGCCAATGTAAGATTGATCTGGGCTAAAGCAAAGAGTACCAGAGGAATGTTTGTCTATTCTTCACTGACTGTGCAAAGGCATTTGATTGCATGGATCACAACAAACTGACTGACCTTGAGAATGACAATCCCAGAACACCTGATTGGGCTCATGCAAAACCTATACTTGGACCAGGAAGCAGTTGTCAGAACAGAGCGAGGAAACACTGCATGGTCCAGTCAGAAATGGAGTACATCAGGGATGTGTCCTGTCTCCATACATACCTTTCCAATCTGTATGAAGAATATATCATTCAAGATGCTGGACTTTCTGAGGAGTGTGGCATCAGAATTGGAGGAAGACTCAACAACCTGAATTATGCAGATGACACAACCTTATTTGCTAAAACTGAGGAAGACCTAAAACATTTGCTGCGGAGATTCACTGACTGTAGTTTGCAATATGAATTGAAGCCCAGCATCAAGATGTCAAAGATTCTAACAGTCGGGCCCATTGGCAGCATCATGATAGATGGAGAAGAGATTGAGATTATTAACAATTTCAGCTTGCTCGGTTCTACAATCAACACTCTTGGCACCAGCAGTCACGAAACCAAAAGGTTAATTACATTAGGTAAATCTGCTGTCAGGGACATGTCCAGAGTGCTGGAGAGCAAGGATGTCAGTCTGGATCCAGGCCATCCAATTACTTGGTATTCATCAGAGAGTTGGAAAGTGAACAAGGATGTCAGAAAGATTGATGCCTTTGAGTTGTGGTGCTAGGGAAGAGTATTGAACATACACCATGGACTGCCAAGAAGACTAATACGTCTGTCTTGGAGAGGGGAAAACCAAGCTGCTCCTTGGAGGCAAGGATTTTGAGACTCCGTCTTACATACTTTGGGCATTTAGCCAGGAGGGACCAGTCTTTGGAGAAGGGTACTCATAGAAGAGTGGAGGGGAAAGTGCAGGACAGGAAGACCCCAGATGAGATGGATTGACATAATAACTAGGGTCATAAGGGTATATGTGTCAGTGACAGTGAGATTGTCTCAGGATAGAGCAGAGTTCAGAGCTGTTGTACAGAAGGTCACTGTGAGTCGTAGTTGACTCGATGGCACATAACTACAACAAAAGGAGAAAATAGTATGTGGATCACTTAGGAGCTGTGAGATGTGGAGTACAGACATTATAGATTGTCTAGAAGACATTTCCTTTGCCTTCCAAACACAGCAAGCCATAGAGAAGTTAGTAGGAATCTGGAGCACACCTGTGACACCTCAGGCACTCTGATACTCTAGGAAGAACAGCAGATACTTAGACAACTAACTGTGTCCACCTACGTATGTTCTCAGGGCTGTTTCTAATGAGTACTGAGACCTAAGAAGGTAAAGAAGAAGATGTTGTACATTCTCAGCTACTTTGCCTATTAAGGTTTTCCTTGTGAGGAGCTGTAAGTAATAGAGTTTATTTTGTAGGACATCATTTGTTGGACTCCCATTTTGGACTTCTGGTTTAAAGTGTGGTATAAAAGTCAATGTTAAAATGAGAAGACATACGTAGTTGGAAATTCAGTCTCTAGTGCAACAGAGGCTTAACACATAAAAGAAATCTCTGAGATGTAAAACTTTGAGACTCCTAGAAAAAAAGCAAAGTATGGCATAAAATATACTACGTTTAGTGTGGGAAAACAGAAAAAAATTATATAAACAACTTCTTGGGAAAATTAGTAATAAAGGTCTAGGAGAACCTATAAGGCCAAGATAGGAATATAAATCTTCATATTGTTTGTGTGTTTGAACTATATAATTATATATCATTCTTAAAATATTAAAATAAATTTAAGACATCAAAATATCATCTAAACCAGTATTGAATTAATGGGAGTTTATCCCCTAGAACAGAAATGGTGAGAAGATTGACGGAAGCTGAATGCCACTGATGTTGTTCATTGGGAAACTCTTTGTGTACATTTACCAAAAAAGGCAAGAAAATATTCTTTAAATTTACCTCAACTAAATTTACACAGAAGAAAAACTAATAAAAATGATTGAATTTTGTTTCAAAAGATGTGCAGGCCACAGTGATATAAGTGCCTACCTCGGAAAAGAAAACCTTGAAGTAACAAGTGAGATCATTCAAGTGTGGACATGAAAAGAATTGTTGGATTAGAGGTGAACTGGACATCAGGAAAATCAGGAAAATTAAAATTGGGCAGATAAAATGTTACAGGCTTTCTGTCATTTCCAATCTTAATGGAAAAATTGTTTTTGTCCGGTTGAGAAACAGTACAGTTTTGCTTTACTATTGTCTGTCAACTGTGCCACCACCTCATTGGCAAGCAGTTTGAGTCCACCAAGACAGTCTCCTTCTGAATGATTTATTGATTCTGAAACTGGAGTGTCAGTTCTGACTCGACAGTATGCAACAACATTTGGTGTCTTTATTTCCTTTTTATACCATTTGATAATTTCTCACTATAGTTTTTCTCTCCTCTAAGGTTATTGGAAAATTAGAAATTAAAATGAGCTCTAAAACAAGTCAAAATAAAAACTGAAAATATAAAAACATTTTCATATCTTTAAAGACTGTAAGTAGGTATTTCCTGCTTGTTCCAGAATTTTTTTTTTTTAGCTAATGTAAAGCCATGACCTTTACAAGATCCAGCTACAGTGTTACTTGTAAACAGCAGCCCTGACATAACGTGCAAGTTAGGAATGAAGCATTCCTGTCACTGCAAACTGAAAAATTCCCAAGAATTTATTTATTTGATGGTACTTTATAGGAAAACTAATAATTTTTTTTCTTTTGAAAAATAGCATTCCTTAGTTTGAAAACCTAATATTTAAATAGGATCTATTACTTTTGCTGTTTTCAGATTTTCAAGATAAAAAAACCTCAGCCTTAGAAGGTACTTCATAGGCTATGCATGTTAAAGGGAGCTCGGGTGGCTCATTGGTAAGAAACTGTGCTGCGAACATAGGTCAGCTAGGAGTTGGTTCTGACTCAGTGGCACAATATGCATGCAGAGATAATAGATGCCACCTGGCAGCCAACAGTAACTGCCAACATTAATTTTACATTTAGCTGACCCTCAGCAGGTGTTCAGAGGCAGGGAAACATACAGGAGGAGACTGCCCATCTTGTTCCTGGGGAGCAGCTGGTGGGTTCGAACTGTTGCAAGAGTGGCATCCACTTCCTAAACAACGTGCCTCTGGAAACTCTGTGAACTTTGAGAAATGATAATATCTAAAGGTGTCTGGTCTTTTGTTCATAGTTTCACTAAGAGTCGTCTTCAACTCGACAGCAATCAACAACACAACAACAACAAATACATATAAAAAATTTTTATTTTATACTGGTTTACTAACCTTTTAAAAAGAAAAGAAAAAAATTTAAACTACTTCTAAATATCGTGTCATGTCCTTCCTTGGGTTTCCAAGGTCATAATTATTTTTGGAAGAGACTGCCTTTCTCCCACAAAGCCATTGGTGGATTCAGACCTCTTAGTTCAGTGTTAACAGCCTGACATATTATCCACTATGCCACCAGGCCTCCTTAACCTTACTTTAGATCCAGATAGAGTAAAGGTTTGCTGTAAGTTGGAGCCCACACAACTACATCTGACAACAGCAGCATATCTCGAATTAAGTTTGTTCACACTTAAGTATCTCATCTTATGAAAATGTAATTAGATATTAAAATAGATCAATTGATTAACTGTATAATATGTAATGTGAATAATAAATTAACAAAACAATTTTTAAGTTAACATAATATGTAGTTTGTCATAACCTGTTCTTAGAAGTGACATCTCATTACTTGACTATTACTCTGTTCCTTTCGAAGCACAGTCATTTAGGTCTAGCCACATGGAATGGGATGCAATTACAGTGCACCCTAAATGTCAGGAGCTAGGGCCTGCTGGGAACCCTGCCAGAGCTGTCTGTCACAGTGATCTTGGGTAAAATGCCCACCAGTGTGGTAAAGAAACACCATTTCACTGTTAATATGATACCACCGTTTTTGATTCTAGAAAGCCCAGGGAAATAATCATTAGCTATTTCGGTGGCTAAGGAGCGCTGGTAGCACTGTGGTTGAGACTTCAGCTGCTGACCAAAAGTTTGGCAGCCTGGACCCGCCAGCCTGTGCTCAGGAGAAAGGAGGCTGACTGCTTCTGTAAAAGTTCTCTTCCCGGGAACGCTCTAACGCTGTGGGTCACAATTGACTTGATGGCAGGGGGTTTGGTTTTCATTTTTATTTCAGTGACTAGAAATGGCAGAATTGCACCCACGTATGTCAGAATGAGCGCAAGGGAAGTTAGGAGCTTATGAGATCTGGCGTTGTGCCAGTGCAGAAGTCCCTTTCCGTCATCTCTCACGGTGTCAGCAGTCGCAAAGCTAATCCAAGGGTGCTCGCTCTTGTGGTGGGACCACTGATAATAAAGTTACTGAACTTACATGCATTAAAAGCTGTCTCTTAGAAACTCTTAGTCCTGCTTATATTTTTCTAAAGTAAATAGAAGTCTTGCATTTATTTATTTGTCCTTATTTTTCAGACAGATGATATTAACAGGATGTGTGGCATTTGCACGTCATGTCGGGCCCACCCGTGTGGAAGCTGAGCTTTTACCACAGTGCTGGGAACAGGTAAATAACTGCTGAATTTTTCCTTTATTATTATAAGTATTTTTTAAAGACTTCTGAATTACAATGATTTTTCCAGATTTATTTCTTTCATTTAATTTTCAACATATAGATTATATGCTAGAAAAAATTTTAAGTGCAATTCAGATTTTTTGGGGATATAGACTATGCTACTATTTGTCTTTGACCTAGCATGGTGGTATAACAGTGATCAGACTTGTTTGGGGGTGTTTTATTTTAGTCCATTCATCCAATACACACTTCTGAAATACTAGCCAGGATGCAATAACGAATAAAACACAAAGACATTCAGCTGAAGATATAACAGTAAACAAGCAAATGGTATGAGGCCTCATAGTTGTTAGGTGCTGTCTAGTTGACTACAACTCCTGGCGGCCACTGTTGTTGTTGTTTAAGTTCCATCAAGTTGCCTGTGACTCATGGCGACCCTGTGTACAACAGCCCTAAACCCTGCTCTATCCCATGCCAATCTTATTGTCTCTGACACACCTACCCCCATTGTCCCACTGAATCAATCCATCTCATTGAAGGTCTTCCTCTCCTGCACTGTCCCTCCATCTTCCCAAGCATGACTTCCCTCTCCAAGGACTGGTCCCACCTTGCATTATGTCCAAAGTATGTCAGATGAAGCTTCAGAATCCTTGCCTCCAAGGAACAGCCTGGCTTCACCCTCTCTCAGATGAACCTATTTGTTCTTCTAGCAGTCTGTGGAATATTCAGTACTCTTCTTCAGCACCACAGCTCAAAGGCATCAACTCACCTATCATCCCTAGTCATTGTCCAGCTCTCTGATGCATAGCAAGTGATTGCAAAGACCATGGTGTGTATCAGGCACACCTTAGTCTCCAGACTTCCATCGTTGCTCTTCAGTACTTTGGAGAGGTCTCAGCAGAATTTCCCAATGCAATTCGTCTTTTAATTTCTGGGCTGCTGGTGCCAAGAATGTTGATTGTGGAGCCAAGCAAACTGAAACTGTAAACAGTCTCAATCTCTTCACCAGCCGGCCACTATGAACACCGTATCTGAACCTAGCCCTGTTCTGCACCGTCTTCACCATCTCGGAAATGCTCGAGGCCATTGTGACAGTTGCTGTGTCAGTCCGCCTTGTTAGGGGACTTCCTCTCTCATTCTGACCTTTCCTAGCATGATTTTTTTTCTCACCTTTCCCAGTATGGTTTCTTTTTCCAAGGACTGGGCCCTCCTGACAGCATTCCCATAATATAGGATGATACATATACAATGAAGAAAAAGCAAAGCAGTCTTAGGAGGAACTATTTTTAAAAGGGTGGTCAGAGAAGGACTCTTGGTGGGGACAGTATTGGGCAGAGACTGGAAGGCTGCAAAGTGTAGCAAATTCAGAAGCTCTTAGTTCACAGAAGAGTGAAATGTATGTGAGTATATAGAAATACAGTGTATATGTATTATGATAGAGTGTACAGTGTGTAACCTTTTGATGCAGATATGTTCATGAATATAATTGGACATATATTTTTACTAACTCCTTTTGATTTTATATTGAGTTTTGATATTTTGAGTCCTTTGAAAAACTCAGAATCGTTGGCCTTCTAGACTTCTTAAGCAGTATCTCTCTCCATCTTAAAAAGAACCGTTCTCTAGAGAGACAAAGTAATAGCCTTATTTATGTTAGCCAAGTTATTAACTTTTTTTTAAAGTCATTAACTTTTAAGAACTATATTAGACTTTGGAATTTCAGTAAATATATGGTCTTTTACAGTTTCCTTAGATATTTAGATTTATATTAAAATGTATTGGAGCCATGTATGTTATTTTAGTTGTGTATAAAATGAAAATTATATTGTGTCATAATTGCTTTGAAAATCCTTATCATCTATGAAGAACATAGGGAAAGGGTCTAGTCATTTAAATTCAAAATTACCTTGGTTGCAGTATAGCCACTTTAAGTATACAAGTCTTTACAGTTATTTTTGTGTATATTTAATTCTAATAATACCTTTTCCAGTTTTGAAAAGCTTTTATTGAGATAAAACTATCACCACGGTCATAGAGCATTTTCATCACCCTGAAAGGACACTCCAAGCCCTTCCTCTTAGACTCTTGTTACTAACATGTGTTTTAGCTCTTCTGTGTTCCTGGAATTTCTGTATGAAAGCTGAGATTTTTGCAAGGAATGCACTGAATATGTAGATCAGTTAGAGAGCATTTCACTTTAACTATGTTGTGGTGGTGTACACAATCGAGTGGAAACCGACCCCTAGCTGTCCTTCTGGTGGGTTTTCAGAGACAGTTAATCACAGGGGAGGAGATTGCCGGTCCCTCCCACAGAGCAGCTGGTGGGCTCGAACTCCATGCCTTAGAGATTGCAGCACAACTTCTTGCTACTAGGCCACACAACCCCTCCAAAATTTTAACAAAATTTAATTTTGTTAAGTTTATTTCTAAATATTTTATTCTTCTTGAAGATATAAATAGAATTTTTCATCTCTGGAAAAGAGATAAAGCCGAATTTTGCACAGACATTTAATTTTAAGACCCACTGAGCTAGATTAAAAAGAAGCAAAATGAAAATTTATGTCTGGCATACTTTAATAATCCTTCTGCCTTGAGGTAGCTCTGTGCATTAAATTTCATTCAGAGATGTCATTTATAAACATCTCCACACTGCATCTTCTGTAACTCAAGAGAACGTGGATATTGGGGATCTGTCTATCCGCTAACTTCCTTCTGGTTGCCTAGTACATTACTGTATCATTTCTTTTCTTAATTTTAGGCATCCAGTATATTAATGAATTATGTCACCTTTTCATATGGAAATAAGAGAACAAATATACATCTTTACCAGTCAAAGATTTATATTCTAAGAAGAAGACATATGGGAACAAAACCCAGTATGTGTCATTTTTTGTTATTTTTGTTTTAGTTCAGTTACCCATCACAATAGCAAAACCCAGTATTTTTGCATATGCTGCCAAGGGCTTACTCTTACAAACAAAATCCTATTACTAGTCAAGAGCTCCGGTTAAGTCACTATTAATGTACTACTTAACCTCTTACATATGCAAGGGGTCCTGATGAGTCATTCCTGGGACATGTTCTAGAACGTGTCGTATGTGTCTGTGATAGCCAGAAGTTGGATTTTCCACACTGAAAAGCCAACTACCACTGCTGAGGAAGGACCTTAACTTCCTCCTGACACCCTCAGCAGAGCCTGTTTTAGGCAAGCCCATGATCTCTAGACCTTGCCAGATTTTTATCTTTACATTAAAAAAAAAAAGAACAAATCACAAATGGCTCTCTTACCTCCTTTTTTAGACTTTTTCTGATTCCTTTATTCCAGATCCAGGTGTAACCAACCATAACAAGAATTCCCAGAACTGAAAAAGGAAGAACCTTTGTTGTACTTTTAACCGAATTTAGCGTGAAAAACAATTGTGTGTTGAAGGAAGTGGGCCTATGTCACATACTCTTGATGTCTTTCTTTTTTTTTAATTCCAGATTAATCATAAATATCCGGAAAGACGACTCCTGGTGGCCGAATCCTGTGGAGCGTTAGCGCCACACCTTCCAGTAAGGACTGTCTGGGTTTCCTGACAGATACTCCCGCCTCCTTCTCTTTTCTACTGACTGAGAAAGCCTTTTTTAAAGTGTCTGTGCTTTTCAATGCAGATACCCCTAGGCCACACAAAGGAAAAAGTAGGAAAAAAGCACAGGCTCCCATTCCGCCGAAAGAGCTGGGACCTCGGTGCAGTGCGGCGTTACGTACTGGTAGCTGTGTTACCTTGCATTCTGTGTAAATACAGGCACCGAAAACTGTAGCAGCAGTTCTCAGAGTTTATCTGGTCTTGGAAAGGTGTTTTAAATTATTTGAAAGTAGTCGGTGAGGTAAAAATGTTCTCATAACAATTGTAGGTCACTGTCTTTTTTTCCACTGCACTAACGTTTGCACCATTGGTACAGAATCCATGATCAACAAGATGGGTGTTACAGTCATACACACCAAGGTAAAGGGCACCCAGCTACCCAGTACTGACTCTATTCTTTACTGCTGTGCTCCTGCAGAAAAGAGCAGTTGGTTCTCTTTCCACATTTGTAGATTTAGAATTTTTACAGTGATGAATTGACCCCAAGCAAGATAGCTCAAGTTTATACTTACTTCTGTTAAAAATATATTGGAGTGCTTCTTTTTCTAAAGCTTCAGCAGAAACTGGGCATGGTGAAATCATTTTCTAGAATACTTGTATCTTATGATTGTGATGAATTTTACATATGTATATTAGTTTTGCACATCCTATTATATATTCCAAGACAGTAGTGAGCCTCACTCTCAAAGGATAAGTAAGCTGTTCCACATTGCTCCTAGAATACTAAGAAATATAAATAACAGACTTAAGTTGATACAGTGAATCTCTGTGCTTCTCCACTGTAACTAGTCATAGTAACTTCTCCCGGCTTCAGGAGAACCCCAGTGTGCTCCTGGTTTAAATGGGGCATTGCCTCCTGACTATTACTGTGGGGTCCCTTGACTTCAGTCCAAAGCAATGAGAAACAGATATCAGAGCTTCAAACTGATTTGATCTTAACCCTACAAAGTGAAATCAGAACAGGCCATAACTTTTTAGACCAAATATTGGGATAAAAAACAATGATAGAATGGAGAAAATTATGGACGAAAACCCTGGAATAAGAGACTCAGAAGAGGCCCAGTCGGCCCTTTAAGGAGCCTGATGAAAGGGATTGGATTATGCCAGGCCAAGGGAGAGCAGCACACATTCAAAGCAGTGCTTTGGTCAGCCTTGAGTGGGTACCACTATTACCAGCTCTGCCAAGTTCCGAGATTGTTTTCTAAGAAATTTCATCCTGAGTAGGTGGTCATCAACCTGTAATTTTTCCTTTCCCAGTCCCACATTTTATGAATTTTAATCCACTGGGATTTCACTCATTAGTCATGATTAAACCAAGAAGAAACAGTCTGCAGTCATGGCAGATACCTAAGTGAAGCTGCTTTTCCTTCATCTATTGCGTACACCAATACCTGTTAGGAAGTCTGTCCTCTCTAGATACTGCGGGTTGGTTTTTTATTCCAGTTCATCCTTTAGCCTGCAAGGAAAAACTAACAAAATGCCTTGTCATTGAGTCGATGCCGACTGCCAGTGGCCCCAGTTGGGTTTCCATGATAAGGAACTGCTTCCAGGAGGAAGGTAGACTTGAACTGCTAGCCTTTTTTGCTTAGTAACCTGACACTTTGTATGCTGTTCTTCTAGGGCTCTTTTTAAAACGAAGGTTTGGAGACTATTTACCAATCTAAATATATCCAAAGAATTACTAAAATTACATATATCTTTGTTCCTACAAGGAACAAAACCCAGACCTTTTAAAGTGTCTGTCAAACCTGCTGTGTATATCAAATCATGCTGTAAATTTATGAAACTTAGAACATCTCTTTTCATTCTTTTCTAACCAATATAGATAAGACTCACTCAGCTCATTGCTGTCGAGTCACAACAAGATTATAGATGACCCTCCATTGGTTTCTGGGACTATAGTGTTGGCTGAGAAGATTGCCCATTTTCTCCCTTGGAGCCACTCTTTTGAACTGCCAGTGAAGCATGACCGTTGTTGGTTAACAGTTCACCTCACTGTGGGCAACATTAGAGTTCACTCTGTCTTACAAAAAGAACCTGAATAAGCTTCTTCTTGTTGTGTCTGAACTGGCTTGTCAGAGGCATAAATCACACACAGGAGACTGCCCCTCCTTCTCCCATGGAGCAGCTGCTGGGTGCCAACTGCATGAATGCCTTTGGGATTGCAGTGCAGTTTACCACTAAGACACCAGAACTCCCAAATAAGTTTAGATTTAAAGAATTTTCCTAAATTGGCCAAATTATAGTAGGACAAATAGCATCTGAGGAGAATTCATTTGCATATTAACAGCTCTTTGTTCTAATCTCAGCTGTTGCTGCTGCTGCTGTTGATGTTGACCATCAAGTCAGAGTCCACCCACAGTTAACACGCCAGTAGGTTTCCAGCGGCCGTAAGTCATATGAGAGGTGAATGTCCATCCTTCTCCTGTGGAACAACTGGTGGATTCGAACCACATGCCTTGAGGATTGCAACACAGCTTCTTACCACCAGGCCACCAGAGTTTCTTATTTTATTAGGAAATAATAAAATATCCTATTTTATTAGGCGAAAATATCTTTTAGGAGAACTGTAGGAAAAACCAGAGGTAATATTAAAGCAAAACATGTAGTAAAGTCATTCTAAAGACTAAGGAGCGCCTGACCCAAGCCATGGTGATTTCAGTTAGTTAGCAAGTGAAGCTTGGACAATGAATAAGAAAGACTAAAGAAGAGTCGATGCCTTTAAACTATTAGTGAAGAAAATGGAATATCCCATGGCCTGCCAAAAGAAAAAAAGTTAATCTATCTTGGAGGAAGTACAACTAGGGTACCCCTTAGAGGCGAGGATGATACAGTTTCATCTTGCATACTTAGGGAATGTTGTCAGGAGGTGTCCGTCCTTGCAAAAAAAGGCATCATGCTGGGAAAAGTGGAAGATCCGTGAAGGAGAGGAAGACCTCAGCAAAACGCTTGGACAGTTACCACCCCAATTGGCTTGAGGAGTACAGAGCTCCGAGGATGGCATACAGGATAGAGAAAGGCTTTCTGTTGTTGATAATAAGATCACATGAGTAGGAATGGAGCCCAGATGAGATGGATTGATACGGCAACTGGGGCAATAGGGGTAGGTATGTCGGAGTCAATGAGACTAGCTCAGGACAGGGCAGGCTTCAGAGTGAGATGAAATTCTAAAAGACCATGTATTTACTGAAATTCCAAAGTATAATATAGTTCTTAAAAGTAAATGGCTGAGCTAATATAAGTGAGGCTATCACATTGTCTAAGTAGATAATGCATCTTTTTAAGACTTAAAAAGTCTAGAAGGCCAATGATTCTGAGTTCTTTAAAGGACTCAAAATATCAAAACTCAATATGAAATCAAAAGGAATTAGTAAAAAACACCTCCAATTATATTCATGAACATTTCTGCATCAAAGGATTACACACTGTATATCATAATATATACACATAAGGTTGTCATGAGTCACAGGCCACTTGACAGCACATTACAACAACAGTCATATTTTATCTCTCCCTTTAAAAAAAATTTTAATATTAGTCATTTCTTTGTTCCTCAGTCTTAGCGGTAGATGTTACTCTACTAAATGATTGAGCAAACAGGTGATGCTAGGAGGGTTATTGTTTGTTCATCTGTAGGAAACGAATGTGTTTCAGTTACTGGTTTACCAGAACGCCTGCAGCTCAGCTCCTGCTAACTTCCTGGATTTCAGCCTATATCCACTTCCGTAATAGCTTGCCTCCGGAACCCTATGAACCTGGAGAGAGGCTGAGAGACACACAAGTCTTGAGGACTCTCCTTCATAGGGTCGCTATGAGTCGCCTGCAACTTGACAGCACTTAACAACAACAACATAAAAGTAACCTATGAAATTAGTACCAAATTCACTGTAGATATTGTTACAACTAGAGAGGATGGGAGAAAGGGCTTTAAGGAGAATTAAAATGTAAATCTATATGTAACATGTGTACTCTTGTGAAAAACGACGACTCCAAGTGAATGTGGCAAAAGTACCATTTTTTTTATCTGGATTGTAACTTCATGGCTATTTTCCTTTTCTGCTGACAGTACAGATAAATAGTAAAACATGTACTTTTTTGGTTTTGTTTTTTTATTTTCCAGAAAGAAATCCGTAGTTCCTTGGTTCTTTCAATGTTACAGCAGATGTTAATGGAAGATAAGGCAGATTTGGTGCGGGAAGCCGTCATCAAAAGCCTTGGTATCATTATGGGATACATCGATGACCCAGACAAATATCAGCAGGTATGTTCTGCAGCATAAAAAAAGCAGCCAGGCTTCTTTAATCATTATGAACCATTTGAAAAGTTTATCCTCTTAAATGTTCACATCTTAACCTACTTCCTTTTGGTAGGGTTTTGAATTGCTGCTCTCAGCTTTGGCTGATCCCTCAGAAAGAGTAGTTAGTGCAACACATCAAGTATTTCTACCAGCTTATGCTGCCTGGACTACAGAACTGGGAAATTTACAATCTCATCTTATACCTACACTGCTAAATAAGATTGAAAAGCTCCTCAGGGTAAGTCTTTTCTTTATTTATATAATTGATGGAAATTTTATTGTAAGTCATGTAGAAGAATGTTGAGAACAAAGACAGAAAGTGCTATTTAACTGAGCATTCTACTAAATTCCTGGTTAAAGCTATTGTTGAGTTATAGCCAGGAGAGACTGGAGGAAGTTTACTTTAGCGAAGCTGAAGTACGAACTACAGTCTTGGTTTCTGAGGTGCGTTAGCACCACATGGAATTAACGCATCCATTATCCAGAAAATGAATGCCTCTAGACACTTCTGAGGACTTCACAATTTTGCTTAAATTATCAGCTCTGATTCCCATATGCAGTGATAATTAAAGTATGACTTTTTCAAGATTTCTTGTAAGACGTCAAAATTGTTTTACCTCTGTGTATTTTAACCGTGATTTCTATTCTTTTATTTTTTCTTTTATGTCAAAGTTCATTGTTTCCTTTTAAAAAGTTGTAGGAAAATAAACATAACACAACTTTTGCCTTTTAAACTGTCAGTGCACAATTCCATATTGAATATCTCTTTACTTTTTAAAATGGATTTTTCATTCTTTCCAACTTACAAAATTAAAGATGAGTTGAAATGATGGAAACTTCTTGATCTAATTTTCATGCTAAAGCTTCCCTTTTAGAGACTAGAAGAGACACTTTTCTTTAATGACTGCTATAATCTACTGAGATAGCTCAGCTAGCCTAGCTGTCAGGAATTGCACTGCCAGCCCAGAGGCTTACATTTGGAATTGACTAGCTAGATTTGGACTGTGGGAGGAAGATGGACAGTCTCCTCCTGTGCCTTTTCTGCCTCTTAAAACCCACTGGAGGGTCAGCTGTGGGTTAGTTCTGACTTCATGGGTTGCTATGAGTCGCAGGCAACGTAACAACAACATATGCTGTAAAATGGCAGCACTGGTGGCCTAGTGATAAGAAGCTGTGCTGCAATCCCAAAGTTACATGGTTCCACCAGATGCTTTGAGAAAGATGAGCATTCTCTTCCTGTGCGACTTGGTGCCTCTGAAAACCCACCAGAGGATCAGTTATGGATTGGTTCTCACTTGATAGCAAACAGCAGCAATATGCTATTAAGACAGAGACATATAACATATCATGTTTCATTCTCTTAACCTTTTGTATTATGTTCTGGGTTTTATGTGGAAATAAGGTCATAGTAATTAAGTAACTTTCCTGAGGATAGGACTGACATGTTGCTGTCTGACCACCAGCGGTTGGTCTCTTTACACCTAAATTTTACAGTCATCTTTAAGATGTTTGCATAAAACATTGTACCTGTTTTATTGGTGATCTCATGTATCCCCATGCATTTATTTTCAAAATGGAGACATGCACACAAAAAAATGTGTGCGTGCATGCACACGTGCGTGGTACTAAACTGAAATAACCTTTTTACTTACTTACTTTGGCCGTAGCACCACGAAAGACAAACAGGTAGGAAGGCATCATATTTGACAAAACAGAGTATCATTGAAGATGAAAAATGCCCTCAGTGACCTGGAGGGACGCAAGAGCTTTAACAGAGAACTCAGGACCACGCAGTTTTGTTGAACATAAGGTTGCTGTGACTGGGACTCATCAGGTCAAAAGCAGCTAACACCACCACCCTTTTTATGAAATCTGGAGGTTTTGTAGTATTTTTTTTAAAGTGCTTGCATTTCTATCAGAGCTAGACCTGTACTTCTTTTCTAGTTCTCTATCATAGTGTGGTTGTTTTCATGTTACTACTAAAACTGTCTGCAATATACAACATTCTTCCATAAAGACATGACCTAAGCTTGAACTTGTTGATAAGTGCCTCTGTAATACTATACCAGCTATGAAATAGCACAATTATAACGTAATGAAGACATCTCAAGTAGATTTGAAAAGCAGCGAACACTTCATCACTAATGATTTTCCACTCCCCTATTGAGTTTCTGTGTATTACATTAATCTTCTTGCTTTTTCCTCTCTCTTCCTTTTAAGGTTTCCTCTTACATTTTACCTGTGTTTTGAGTTATTTTAAAGTGCTTGTTTTGTCGGCAAAGGCAGATTTAGCCAAATCCAGAAAAGAAGAGAGGGTGCAAGAGAGGGGAAGTAGCCAAATTATGTGGGCTTGACAGTTGAGCATTTGTAATGATTCTTGTGTCTCACATTAGCATCTTAATTCTGACTTACAGAAGAACCCCTCAAAGGCAAAAAACAAAACTTGCAAAATAAATTCCTAGAAATAGAAATGACTGATGTTTGCCGTAAATGTTTTTCAAGTGAATGATTCTGTTATATCTATGTTACATTAGTACTTCTTCCCATTTTCACTTATGTAGAGAAACTAATAAATTTGTGGACAGTTAACTTAAAGCTATGGGACCAATATACAGGTCCTTCAGTGTTTTATTATCTGTCACATCAAGGTAACAGCTTTATAAATACAATTAGCAATATTATTTCCCAAAACTAAAATTAGCCTCCCCCTCCTTGTGTTTCAGGAAGGTGAGCATGGGCTGGATGAGCATAAGCTGCACCTGTTCCTCTCTGCGTTGCAGTCCTTGATCCCTTCGCTCTTTGCGCTAGTCCTACAGAACGCCCCTTTCACAAGCAAAGCCAAGCTGCATGGTGAAGTACCACAGATAGAAGGTACTGCTGAGATGGGGGAGGGAAGACGGGCAGTACTGGCAATTTAGCATCCTAAAGAGTTGCTTTTGATTTAAACTCAAAAAGTCACTTTTATGAAAGCAATTAAAATGTATTCTACTTATGGAATTTTGAAGTCATATAATAATCTAAAGTAAACCACGTGGCTTCATCTTCTATGGATAAACCTCCTTATAATATCTGAACTCTTTCCATTTTTAACCTGTAGTCATTGAGGTATCATTGATCTGTTTTCATGCACTAGACTAAGTCTTTCCTTTCTTTAACATCTGAGTCAAGGAAAATATTCATTTAAATGTTACTCACTCATTATCACCAAACCTGAACCAACTCATAACTTCATTGAGTTTCTAAGACTCTAACTTGCAAGTGAAGAAATTGCCCCATCTTTCAACCACCAGAGATGTGGCCTTTGAGTTCGCAGCACAACTCCCTACAGGCTGCACCACAAGCTCACTCACTCGTTGCCATTGAGTCATAACTGACTCATAAGTGACCCGCCTATGTGTTTCAGGAAGCTGCCGATTTCACATCTTTCTCCTGAGGAGCAGCTGGTGGATTTGAACCAGCAGGAAGGCCCCTCCTTTGGGTTAGCAGTGCAACTCCCCGCAGGCTGCGCAACCAGAACAAGCACCCTTAAATGTTCTCAGGCCACGATGTGAACTTTGCTGCTTCTGCTTGCTTTTTCCTCTTTTCTTCTGCCTTATTCTTTCATGAAATAGAATTGTTTTTCCTTCTGTATGTTTGATAGACAGGATCATAAATTATGCCACAGTCATTTTTTCCATATTCCAAAGTAAAAAATGTGTCTTACTTGAAGGAATACATAAAGTTGATAGCAGAAACTAGCATTTTCCTATCTAACTGCTGAGTTTACCAGTGAGTGGTCTTTGATAATAGTGGTCAGCACTGCGCTGCCCATGACACTGAAGAGGAAGGGCTGTAGACTGGCTATTGCTGTGCCCGGGATCCTTTTGCAGCTTTTTCAAATTTGTGAAACTGTTCATGCCTCTTCCTGACTTTTGATACACAAAGAATTACATCGAGCATATAAAGAAACCTCTTTCTGCCAACTTGATTCCCACTCTTAGTGACCCTACAGTAGCACAGGGTAAATCCACCCCATAGTGTTTCTCAGACTGTAATCTTTATGGAAGCAAACTGCTATCTCTTTTCTCTGACAGAGAACTTGGTGCATTTGAACCACTGACTTTTTAGTTAACAGCCAAACACTATAACCACTGTGCCACAGGACTCCTTAGCAATAAATCCAACCTACCCTTAATGTTTTGTATATTACCGTTTTCAAATAAATCGTTGGGCTGTCATCTTTGTATTGTGTCTAAGGATACATGAAGCCACAAGTAAACATGATGCATACTCCAGTACAGTTTTAATTGAGCAATGATGAGTGGATGACTGGAGCGAGTTTAATATTTTTAAATATTATGGAACAGAATGAAGTTTCACACTTAAAAGCTTTTGCAAAGAGCTCATAACTGGCCATTTCAGCTTCTGTCCCTTCATATAGGCACTTCATCTGTTTAGGATTTTTCTATCTAATGTCTCTGCCTTTCTACCTTGCTGTTATTGGTTCATTTATTTCTCAGTTATTGAATATCAATTATTACTAAGCATTGTATACCTTACTTATCTACATGGTTAGGTTCCAAAAACCATGTCATTATGTAAAAAATCAGCATTAAGTGAAAATGAACAATGGTCACAGCAGATCACAAAATGGAAGATGACTACATCATCATATACTTGCTCATCCGCTAAACCAAGGTGACACTTTATCGCCACTACCAGTGTTACTCTCCTCTGCTCACACCTCAGTGGTCATTACTGCCAGATGCATATAGATAATGTCCAACCTTGGGGTTTTTTTATGTCATAAATTTATAGTTGTTATTTAATGTCATAAATATGAATTATTAGTACATGTTCCTTCTTTTGTTTATGTTATCTTTCTTCTGATTATGTCTTCATCATTCTAAAAATAATCTTCCAATGTCTTCTTGATGAATTAGACTCCCTGATTTTATCAATAGCTATAAAAGTAGATGCTGTTTATACTCTCAGTTAAGATATAATGTTATATAAATATAATATGGTATAACTTATTGAACATGAATGATGGTAATTCACAAAAGTATTTTTATTAGTAATTTCTTTTATAAGGTTACCTAATATTTGTCACTATTTAGGCACTTAGGCTACAGTTATAATCATTTAGTTATGGGGGGAAGCCTACAAAAATCTCTGCTATTATATAGCTTACATTCTTGTAGAGGGACATATATTAATTATTCATGACAACTTTTTACTGTGTTGGATAATTGTGTTTTGCCAACCTATTAACATGGCTTTCTTTTGATCTTTAGGTGCAGAATTTTTCTTTTAAATCAGTTAACTACAATAATGCTTTGAGGCTCTTGAACATTTTTATTGCGTATCTGTAATAACTGAGTTACTAAAGTAATAACTTGTTTTCTGACACCATTTTTCTTCTGTCAACCAGTCTTAGATTTTTGGTTACCATTCTTCATACAGTATATCTCAAGATACCAATTTTATCTTTAATCTCTCCATTATTTGTCATTTTTTTTCTTTTTTTAATACTGGTTTATTTATAAATGTCCTTATTTTTGAAGAGATAACATTCATTCTACTTTAGCATAGCATATCACAACCAGTCATTGAACCTTGTTTGATTTTAGGAATGATATCTTGACATAGATAGTAATCTGTCATTATACAACTTGATAACAATCTTGAGTTAAAATAGTGAAAATTCAAATAGAGTTGAAATAGTGAGTAATGGTTGCCTTGCTATCCACGTTTATTTCATTGTGTCAAAATCAGCATGATAAGGAAATGGATAATGAGTGCATTATAACATAGAACAGTAAATGAAAGAGATAAGATAGCAGGGAATTTATCCAAAACCATAGCTAAATCTGTTTAATTCTTTAGTTCTGATAATGAGAGATAACTTAAACTTGTTGCAGTGTTAGCCTAAAGTTGGCTTTTTTAGCCTTTACGTTAGCACCCTGTGGTCTCCAGCTACCTTAAGTGCAGACATACAGTCTTGGAAATCATCAACAGCTATGGGACTAGGATAAGAGAGAGAGAGAGATATCTTTTCACACTGAAAGTCAAGACTAGTGGGAGATCCTGGGGAGCAAGACACTGGTGATGGTGGTGGAGAGACTGTGGCATTGCTATGCAGAAACTGTGGAAAGGTGTAACCAGAGGAGTCCTGAGAGAAAAGCCACAGTTAAAGGATTTTGCTGTTCTTTCCGGATAATGGAAGAATAATCTGATTATAACTGCTCTGAGGCAAACCTTGCTGGATGATGAGGAAACCAGAATTTAATCCTTTTTTTTTTATGTTTATAAGAAACTAATTAGATAGAGTCTATTTTCTTTATGATATATTAACAAAGTTCCCAAATTGCCATTTTTCATGTGTTTTATGTTGCTTCTCTTTCTAGTAACTAGATTTCCTCGGCCTATGTCACCTCTTCAAGATGTATCTACTATCATTGGAAGTCGTGAACAATTGGCAGTGCTGCTACAACTTTATGAGTACCAGTTGGAACACGAGGGTACAACAGGCTGGGAGAGTTTACTATGGGTTGTCAATCAGTTGTAAGTTACTCACCTCTTTATATCACCTCTAATAGCTCTTTATATTTAGCTGTAAAACTAAGAGACAAAATATAACATGTAACAGGCTATGACGTGGTGTCATCTGTTTAATAAACTTGGCATGTAATAAACTTTTTTAGGGGAGGAGTTTGATACCATTCAATAAGTCATTTCATTATGAGGATGGTGCTCCTGTTTGATGTCATGAAGTCCTGTGTGCTGTCTTGTTTGTCCCATAGTTATGATGCATTTGAACTGGCACAGCCATTCATCTCTGAGGCTAAGGTGGATGCCACGAGTCTCTTCTCAGTGACGCTTAATTGGAATCATATGTGTAGATTTGTTTCTCAGAACTATAGCGTTAAGCTCCCAGATACTGTTTAGCAAGCAGCTAACCTTCATTTAAAGGGATTTATAGTCTATAATCCTAAATCTTTTCCACAGAATTTAAAACACCAATGAATGAATGTTTTTAAGAGAAAGGTGAACTGGGGGAGGGGTAGAGTGTAGGGAGGAAAATGTGCAACAGTGAATGAATGAAAATCAAAGTTTTCTGTAAACTTTCATTAAAATCACAATACAAAAATATTTATTAAAAAAAGAAAGGGTAACAGTGGGCATATTTTAAAAAAAAAAATAATTTAAAACACCTCATTTCCTTTCATATTTTACTGGGCATAAGAAACAAACCAGAAGAGATTGTTAAATTGCATTTCTTCAGAAATTAGCGAGGAAAGAGCAACTTACATGTATTTTCTGCCTGTTTTTCTTTCCTTTCATGTTCAGGTTACCACAGCTTATAGAAATCGTTGGCAAAATTAACGTTACTTCAACTGCCTGTGTCCATGAATTCTCCAGATTTTTCTGGCGCCTTTGCCGAACGTTTGGCAAAATTTTTACAAACACTAAGGTAAAAACTTGTGTTCTTTGTTTTCTTGTATACAGGAGACTTAAAATGTAATATGTCAATACTATAACAGATTAAGAGAAAATCATGAGACTATTTTGTTGTTAATCCTAGAATACTGTGGTAGAAGAAAAACTAGTTGGTTATATTCTTTACTAATAAGATACTAGTCCAAACTTTGTATCCAAACCTAGAAATAAACTTTTTTTTTAATTTTTATTTTACCATTTTTTGTGTGTACCATCAAATCGGGTCTGACTGGTAGAGGAGGAAATTGTCCCTCCTTCTGCAGCAGAGCATCTGGTGGATTCAAACTGCACACCTCTAGGATTGCAGTACAGCTCTTGCCACTAGGCCACCAGAGCTCCCTTAGAAATAAGCTCTTCACTGTGAATAGCTCAAAAAATTTCACTACAGGCCATATCAGCTCAGGAACCCAGCCACAGTCCTTTAGATAGACTCCTGGTCTTTTACCCTCGACCACAGGCACAGGAAACAACTGTTTCCTCAGGACACTTTGCTCAAAACCTGAGGTGAATATGGAACCACAGCAGTTTATATATAAGACTTACTGCTGTAAGGACAGTGCCTCCCAGGAATACATGGGCTCTGGAGAGAAATTTTGCATATTACCATCGCTATCAAAAGTATCATTTACCATTATTATTTGCCTGCCCGTGTTATCTTGCAGTATAGATGATATAATGGGCACATTCTTAGAACCCAGTTCCTTCTTTAGTCCTGTTGATTCATTTATCTCACAGCATATTCAGCTAGCTCTTCAGCAAATTAGCAAAAACATGAAAAGCATGTAATCGTTATAATCAGGTATTGATTGAGAAATGTAAAAGGTCATCCATCTCTTCATTATTGAATCTATAGTTATTAATACAGTTAACATACGATGCTGTCAGTTGACTGGCAAAAATTCCCAAGGCTTGCATTACAGGTCTGTTGATTAGTATCTCACGTATGAAATGGAGAGAAGACCTGAATGTCTTTCCATTCTGTAAGTTTGACGATATGTTGTTGTTGTTGTTGTTGTTAAGTGCCTTCGAGTCGCAGGCGACTCATAGCGACCCTATGAAGGAGAGTCCTCGACGCTTGGGTGCCTTTCATCCTCTCTCCGGGTTCATAGGGTTTCCGGAGACAAGCTATTATGAAAGTGGATGCCACTCCTCCTTCCTTGATGATATAGATTAATCTTTTTACAATGATTTAACCTTTTTAGCTCAAGTTAAATACTTAAATTTTAAGAATATTGCACACATACCTAGAAGAGGGCAAAATATTGAGATATTATTTAGAAGACAAATGATTTTGCATTTTTACTGTAATTTACTTGTTAAAAAAATATATAATTGAATTTTACTGTCAGTGAAGATTGGCAAGAATTTTTTATGTCTCCAAAAGAGCTGACTCCTCTATTTCAGAAAAGCAAATGAGTACCCACTTATGAACTGAATAGTAAGTGATTGGCATAGTGGCTAGAAACTTCACTATAAAAAATTGAAACAAAGACTTTCTAGCTTAAAATGTTAAATGTTAAGTCTATTTTCTATTTAAAAGGAAGTTATTATAAAATATTAAATCTGGTTATGGATAATACTTAATATAATACTTACCGAACACCCTAATTTAATTTCATTTAATTCCTTAAAGTTACTTTTTTTTCCTTCTAAGCCTTTAAACTTAGAATGACTGTTTCAAACCACATGTACCAGTGTTCTCTAAATCAAAATCACAGAGTAATGAGGAATATACTTCTTATTTATTCACCACCTACTCCACTGTACCTGAAACTTTCTGGGTCTTCTCATTGATGTAGGTAAAACCTCAATTCCAAGAGATTTTAAGACTGTCTGAAGAAAACATTGGTAAGTTACAGTTTTAAAATCCACCCAAAATCCCTGTAAATGTTCATTAAAATTAATAAAATTTAATAATTAAAAAAATAAATAAAGATTAAAATCCATTACATCTCTTTACATAGGAAAATTGCTATATTCTGTATAGCATTTAAATATAGTAAGTTATATACGTGAGCTAGCAAGTACATTTGAGAAAACATGAAACTCTTGGTTTTAACAGCTGTGTCACTCTTTAATGTCTTTCTCATGTGATAAGCCTGACTTCATCCTTCTGTTTAATTATGTTGTTGGTCTGCCTTGTTGTTGTTGTTAGGTGTCCTTGAGTACGTCTCATAGTGACCTGTGAACAGCGGATCTGGACCTTGCCCTACCTTGTACCATCCTCACTATCTCTGCTATACCTGAGCCCATTGTTACCATTACTGTCAAGATGAGGGTCGTCCTCTCTTTCACTGATCCTCCTCCACCTTTCAAAGCGGATGTCCTTTTCCGAGGACTGGACCCCCCTCACAACATGCCCAAAGAATGTGAGACAGAACTTCTCCATCCGTGCCTCTAAGGAGCACCCTGGTCGTGCTCTTTCTCCAAAACCGATCTGTTTGTTCTCTCAGCAGTCCATGAGAAAGGCTGCTTTAATTGACTGTTCAAAGCAAGACTTCAAACTGGTTCAAACCTGTTTTGCCAACAGTTTGTACACTTTGTACTGCAGCCAATTATGTACATGGTATTTTGACTCAAATAGGAAGCTTGATACCAAGACATTTAGTAATTTCCAAAGAACTCTGTTCTCACAGTTGTTGAAAAAAAACAAGAACATTTTCCCAGAGCCAAGAAAGAACTTTTCCTTCAAGCTGGTGTCCTAGATTCGAACTTGTCTTCCCATACAGATAATTTAGAATTTGTTTAAAGGCACTCATTTGTGGTATTTTAGTTATAGCAGCTCTAGGTAATTAAAATAGCAATAAATAAACAGATGCTTCAACAAAGAGGGCATTATAACCAACAAATACATGAAAAGATCCTTATAACTATTAGCCACTAGAGAGATACAAACAAAAACTAAAGTAAGATACTATCTTACCCCTTTAAAAATGGCAGTAATAAATGTTAGAAAACAAAGTGTGTTTTGTTGAATGAAAAACCAATTTACTTTCTAAAACTGTCCCTCAAATCACAAAATAAATAAAGTTTGAAAACATTGGTCAGATTTATTTTGCACCAACTGATAATAATAAATATTTCATTTACTAGACCTTAAGGCCTCTTAAAATGGCTTAAAAGGTTAACATTTTAAACATATCCTCTCCAGACTTCTCTTTTAAAAGGGGCTGCAGATGTAGTGCAGCACACACAAGTCTTTGGTAGTTAGAGTGCTCACCTATGATTTGCTAATTTTCCTGTGTCTCCCTGCTTTATTTGGCCTGACTGCTCCTCCTATGATTGGAACTGGGGCTCTAGCTGTCTTGAAAACCCAAAAGAGAATGCAGGAGGAACCCTGAAACTATTGCTGGACACTGGGCAGTCTTATGTCTGGAAACAAACATCTCCATGTCTGCTTTTCAGCTCTGTTGTGTGCCGGTATATTTGCTAGATACTGTGAACTGAAAACATCCAGATTCAGAGAGCCCTGCTACACTGGGCCACAGAGACTCTGGAAGCCCTGATTTCTGGTTATAGAAACAAGAGTTTCATTATAAAATGTCTTACCCGTCTGCTAGAGGAGCTGTAATGTGATAAGGAGTGGCACTGCCTCTCCAAAGACTGCCTCCGAAAGCCTGCTGGAGGCTCAGCTCGACAGTACACCACCACCACAGCAGCAACATCCAGCTATTAAAAAGGTTTATGTCTATGCAAAAGTCAGGAAAGAAATAGGAAGTGGTGCTTTTACAACCAATAAAAATGTATTTTAATCAATATTTTCTAGAGTAATAATCATGTATTTGTAAACCTGGTAAACAGTTATAGTTTTAATTGCCTTGTAACTTTTTTTTTTAATGGTCAAGATGACGTACTCAGATGCCTAAAATTATTTTAATGATTTTAGATTCCTCAGCAGGAAATGGGGTTCTCACTAAAGCTACAGTCCCTATTTATGCAACAGGAGTCCTGACGTGCTACATTCAGGTAAAGGAAAAGTTCATCTTTTCCAGTCAAAGTACTTTTCTGTTATATACTTAATATTATGTATGTTTGATGTGTATGTAAGAGAAAATGGAACCCATAATGGAGAGGGGAAAGTTTTTATTCAAAAGGGAGCATATTTGAGTAAGACTAAATAACATCTCAGTCAAACTAATAAATGTCTGGATTGTGTCCTTTTTAAATGTTTTGCTGAAGTGTGGGATTTCATTTATTTAGCGGTTTATGTTCATGAGAAGGAGTCCTGTTAGGAAAGGCATCCGAGTGCTCAGCTGCTGATTGATAGGCCATTGCAGTTCTACTGCGACCCATAGGTTTGCTAGAACTTGCAAGAATTGGAACCGCCAGGGAGCTGGGACCTTTGGGTTTAGCAGTTTTGGAGTTTAACAACTCCGCATGGACTTCTCCTTGTGACTTTGTAGCACAAAGTACAACTGCCCCATAGTTTCCAAAACTGGAAATCTTTGGAGAAATTCACTGCCTCCTCTTTCTGCAGAGCAGCTAATGGATGAACCTGCCAGCTCTTCTGTTAGCAAGTCACTGCTTGATCCGCCCCATCATCTGGGCTCCTGGGCAGCTTCATAAACAATCTCAAAGCATAATGGCTCACTATGTAGTCAACTTGACAGCACCTAACAGTAATTGTATTTGCATCTGGGCTTTGCTCAACGGACATCTCTTCTGGTATCATTTCATTAACTGAACAGTCAGTCACCTGAGGACTCTGCTCCAGGGGCTGGACTTCCCTCAGGGTCACCACAGAGCCTCTCCCCCAGTGTGGCCTCTTGGATAACAGAATGAGACTGACTCCCAAGAATGCAAATGCATGATCTGCTAGTCAAGCCTTTGCCCTGGATTTAGCACATCACTTCTGTTGTATTTGTTAAAGCAGTCATAAGCTCAGCTCAGAGTAAATAAGTAAGCAAAGGTGTTAATCAAGGAAGGTGGGTCATAGGTGGCCACCTGTGTAATACATTGCCACACTCACTTTATATTTTAAGTAAATAAGACCTACGATGTGCAACAAGACATAATTGCATTCTAAAATTACTACAGAATCAATCTGGGAAACAGTAGACTCAGTTAATATCCGGACTTCTGATAAAGTCTATTCCTTTGATTTAGTCACCTGAAACTTTGTTACAAAAATGTAAAAAATTAGGGGGAGGGGTGGGCAGGGAGAATAGTGCAACAATGAATGCATGGAAATCCAAAATTTCTGTAAATGTTCATTAAAATTAATAAAATAAAATTTTTTTTAAAATGTAAAATGTTCCACCAGATGTTCTGCTGAAGAAGGAGGAACAATCGCCTCCCGTACCAGTCAGATCCAATTTGACGGTACACACATAAAAAAAAAAACAAACCCATACATAAATATTATTTTTAAAAAATAAATGTAAAATGTTAAAATTACACTATCAGTTTTTAGGGTGAGACATTCTCACCCATAAGGTGAAAAAATTGGCTCAGAAAGTATAAGGTACTTCTAGAAGTTAAAATGAGGTGGGACTCACACTTCAATGGGTTCTTCCGTTTTCTCCATCGGATGGCATTGCTAGGGCTGTTGTAACAAAGCACTACAAATCACTTAACTTACAGGAATAAAAGGGAATTCTTGGGTGGGTGGCACAATTCAGCACTTAGTTGTGAGCCACAAGGTTGGTGGTTTGAGTCTATTAGAGGTGCCTTAGAAGAGAAGCCTAATGATCTAATTCCAGAAGGTCACAGCTATTACACCCTCGAAGGTCACAGCTATTACACCCTCTGGAGCTCATAGCAACTGAAATAATAAATATTTTCCTCACAGTTCTGGAGGCTAGTGGTCCAAATTCAGGGTGCTGGTGGATTTTGTTCCCTCAGAAGACTCTAGGGGGAGATGTTGTCTATTCTGGGTTGCTGCTGTTGCTGTTTACTTGGCCCTCATCTCAGCAACCCTGTGCAGACCAAAAGAAGCCCTGCGGCTTGTAGGCCATCCTGATGCTTAAGACCTTCAGGGTCTATCAGGTTTTCATTGGCTGATATTTGGAACTAGTTCATGAGGCCTTTCTTCCGAGTCTTGGTTCCACTGGAACTTGTTCAGAACAATAGCAGCACTCAAGCCTGCACTAATAAGGTGGTGGCTGTGCACATTCCAGGAGTAGAACCCGACCCTCCCACACATGAGGTGCAGGTTTTGCCACCGAACCACCTGTGCCCTCCTCTTTGGCTTGCAGCTACAGCACAGCTCTGCTCATCGAGTGGCCTCCTTCCCTCTGTTTCTTTTACCTTCTTTTATAAGGACCCCGTCTAGATTGGATTAGGACCTGTTCTACCCCAGTGAGACTTCATGTTAACTGAAAAACATCATCAAAGACTCTATTACCAAACAAAGTTATGTTTACATAATGCATAGGGGACACCATTCTATTTATAATACCATTAATACACAACGTGTTTCTTTTACCCTTTGAAATCCGAGTACAACAATTCCTATTTCTTGCCTTTTCTTCCACACTGGCCTGAATCATTTTACGTTGTTAAATATAGTCTGTTTAGTTAGCAGCAGTGTTTGAGCCATTGTGCCACCAGGGTTCCTTAAATAAAGATAAAAAAAGGATTTACAAATCAAGGAGCACAACTATTTCTCTTAAGAATGTAGTGGTCTGTGTCATCAAGGCTGAGCCAGTATATTGCAAAGGTAATTTCTTAGAGGTAATTTTTGTTAACTAAGATTAATTATTAGTTTCTATTTGGACACTTAGAGCCAAACCTTATGAGAATTAAAATTAGTTCAGTAAATGTATCAATAGAATATGCTTTTTAATTAATTAAGTCAGAGCTCGCCCATAAAACATTTTAACAGTGAACATATTTAAGATCTGAGGACACAGTACAGGGCAAGGTTCCAGTCAGTTGTTCACAGGGTCACGCTGTCTGATGATACACATGTGGTCTTGTGTACTTGTGCAGCTCAGGAGTGCAATTACAAAACAATAATTCAAAAGTGAGTAACTACATGAGGCTGCTGACTACCATATAGGATAGTGCATGCCAAATGAGGGAACTGAGGTAATGCTTGGTTACCTTACAGTTATGGTCATAGATATATTAGTAAATATCTCTTCCAAACTAGGATAGCCAAGCCCACCCACTTCCATCTGAGTAATTCTCCTCAGAGTGGCCCTTACAGAACAAAGTACAACTACCCCACAGGGTTTCCAAGACTGAATCTTCCATGGAGTGACTGGTGATTTTGAACCGCTGACCTTTCAGTTAGTAGCCCAACATTTAACCCTCTGTACAGCCAGGACTTTCCAAACTAGGATACTTAATCAATATTTTCTAATTGTAGTAATTATGTTTTTGTTCCATTTGATTGCTCAGAAATTCAATCTTGACTTTTTTCTCCATAGGAAGAAGACCGAAAACTGCTGGTGGGATTTTTAGAAGATGTAATGACTCTGCTTTCATTATCACATGCTCCACTTGATAGCCTGAAGGCTTCTTTTGTGGAACTGGGGTAAAAAATAGCAGCTTAGCAGTTTCTTAAAAGCATAAAAGTTTAGAAATTACAGTTAGAGGATGTGCATCTTAAATATAAAAGATTTGACATTTATACTGTATCTCTAGGTTTTAAGACTTAAACAGTTTTGTTTGTACATTGTTTGTATTCTTTAGAAAAGGCTTCAGGTACTTCTAAACAGATAGTGAATATTAAGAACACCTACGTATAGAGTATTTAACGAGGAGAATGGGTGATACTCCTGTTCCAAGATCTGAAGGCTTTTTACAAAACTGGGATACTGTTGATACCATTTAATTAAAAAAAGTTTACAAAAAAAAAAAAAAAAACCACCCCAACCTGAAACTTTTCTATTAAATACATTATGTTCAGAATAGTAAAATATAACATTTGAAGGCACTGTTGGCATTCTTGATCCATCACATAATTTTAAAGTAGAGGAGTGGATACAAACATGTTTTATCCAAGTTTAGCTGGTGAAATAAAATCAAATACAATTTAGAAGAAAACTTTGTTTCCTGGAACTGAAAAATTAGCCCCAAAATGAAAGCCAGCTCGTTAGGCTCCTTTTTGTATTTAATTTCCTTAGTCCTGCTCATAATCTTGTCATCTGGCTGCTAAACTAGTTTTTATTTTTGTCTTTACTGACAACAGGCTTTTGTAGTTATTAATCTACATATGAATAAAAAGCTTCAGAGACCCATTTATGTGATTTGATTCTTCACTTGATATTACAATTACCTTCTACAAAAATTGGGCACGTGTTACCTTGTATAGGTGTATAAATTAAGATCCACAAAATCTGTGATTTACCCTTCTGACCAATACTCTTCCTTTTGTTCAGAAGAGGAAGCTAGGGGTTTTTCCTTTTCTTTTTTTTTTTTTTAAATAGTTTTAACTCTTGTGCTACTGAAGTTGAAATTTCTACCATATTGGTAAATGCTTAGAGAAGTTTAAAAGTGCAATTCCTGAATATGCTGAAGTTGATGATTTTATAAAGTAACTTTTTCAGAGAATCTTATATTTAACCTTAATAGATCAAACCATAAGAGTAATTCCAATTATATGTGAATAGTTTTATCATAAATATTCATTTTAAAATCATGGTAGTTTTCAGCACAGCACTAAGATGGTATAAATCTGATTTTTAGCACTTTTAAGATTTTTAGCATCTTCTGGGTTTTTTTCTTCCAGTGCAAACCCTGCCTACCATGAGTTGCTGTTGACAGTTTTGTGGTACGGTGTCGTGCACACGTCAGCCCTGGTGAGGTGCACTGCGGCCAGGATGTTTGAGGTATGGAAACAGGTGCTTCTGTGGGTTCAGATCACGATGATTTTCTTTGGAAGAGGGAGTAGGGTGGTTTTATCTTTTTTTTTTTTAAAGCACTTTACATAATGTTAAGTTGATGTTACAGTATCTAGTTGTGTACTGTGTGATGGGCCAGAAGTTCAAGAATTTAGCTTTTACATATTTAAGAATGCTTTCTTGGTACTGGTTATTGAATGTTACTCAGTTTTCATTTCCATTTCTCACATTCTCTCAAGTCTTACTTTCACTTTCTTCTCATGTAAATCTCTCATTATATTTGTTTACAGAGGTACTAATGAAGTAATACAATATTGGGTATCTTTCAAGTCATAAAATAATAGATTCATGAGTAGTATTTTGAAAACAGTTCCTGTAATTATGGAAAGAAATGTTTTACTGCTCTGTACTGCTGTCCTCTTTCACTTACCATGTCTCTAATAGCATTCCTGTTCCCTAATACAATAGAAGAGACTGCGCATATCATTTAGCTGAATGATCTTAAATTGCCACAGACTTAAAAAAAAGAAAGAAAATATCTTTTATAAGCATCATATAGAAATCTATGTCTTAGCCTATTTTACTTTGTATATACACAACTTTTTCAGGCTTTCATTGGAACACTGAAATAGGTATTTGAACACTCCTTGATGTTCTTGAGCCGTTTGGAGAGTCAGGCTGCCTGGGTTCAGTCCCATCCCACCCACTTAGTGTCTATAAATTACTAAAGCCTAACTGCTCCTGACTTGAGTTTCCTTATCTGTAAAATTAAGATGGTAATGTTAATAAGTCCTCATCTTACAAAAATTTTCTTAGTATTAAGTGAAGTATTATCTTTAGACCCCTTAAAACTGTATCTGGCACATAATTAGAGCTTAATAAATGTTATCAATTCTTAATATTGAAGACTTTTTCATCCAGATTATCACTTTACTAAATAATGGATTAGGGTAGGGAATATTTATCCAAACGAAAATTGTTCACAGTTTCAATGTGTTTCCTTATCAGTCACACCTAACAAGAACAACAAAAGAAAGAATTGGGTTATTTTCCTTTTTTCCAGTTTTCAGAATCTCTCCAGAACTTAAGGTATATTTGGAAGACTAGGACATTGATACATTTAAAATATATACCTTCTACCACTTTAAAATACATAAGTAAAACCAGTTTATGGACACTAAAGAAACTGCATTTTATCGGGAAGGAGAACATCATCTCCCTCACTGACTAAAAAAATAAAACCTGGTAAATCAGCTCTTCCCTGTCAATGAGAATGCCATATTTAAAAACTGATTTGATGTCTAGTATAAATTTCTTCTTTGATATAAGTAATGTTTTGTTATTTCTTGTAACAGTAAAGAAGCATTATCATGGCGAGCTCTGGTGGCCTAGTGGCAAGAAACTGCACTGCAATCTCAGAGGTGCACAGTTCGAATCCACCAGATGCTCTGCTGGAGAAGGAGGAACAATCTCTTCCTGTACCTGTCAGGTCTGATTTGACGGTACACACAAAAAAATAATAAAATAAAAAATAAATTTTAAAGAAAAAAAAGAAACATTATCATGAGAGAGAAAAGGTCATTCTCTACTACCTTCCCATCTTAATAAAAAGGAAAAGGCATCCTTTTGAATGAAGAACTATCTCTTTAATGCATCCACTTCATAGATTTTATTCTAATACCATCAAAATTTTTCAATCCTTTGTTTCTGAAATGTGTACATGCAGTAGTGAGCATATCACGCACATGGGAATAGATATTAAGATGGAGTGTGCTTCTGTCTGTCTTTTGTTTTTCCTTGCCACCTACACTGATTTTGGCTGCTGCACACTGATTTTGGTTGCTCTGCTCTCAGGTCTGGTCAAGAAACTGCCTGTGCTTAGTCAGTTTTCTGTACTTTTTCAAATCGAACTTCTTAGCCTCATATGAGAGGTTTTTGAATAGTTCATCCGTGACAAAATTTGCCTGGAATGTATGTCCATATAAGTGGCCAGTGGAGACATTTTTTTCTATAGTCCTTATTTTGGACAAATTGTATTAAAAGAATAGAATGCATATGGTTTATAATATTCATTTTTATATTAACTCTTTATAGTTTAGTATTATACTTGCTTCCCAAAAAGATGTTATTTCAAAATAATAGGATATAGAACTAAAATAAGGACATTAATGGATTAAATTTAATTAATTGAATTAGGAAATTAAGGAAAAAGAAACTAATAACTAAAGATAAAAGTAAGAAATAGTTACACCAGGAAGCTAATACGGGATAGTTACGAAAAGCTCTGTTTTCTAATGACGGTACCTAAAAAGAAAATTTAATTGATCTTTTTTTAAGTAAAAAGCAATACTGCTTTTCAAAATAGCAAATTATTAATGGCAATTACTATAAGAGAGCTTTATCACTGGATTCTTAATGTGGCGTAATGGAAGGAGCCCTGGGACATAATAATTGGAAGGCTGTTAACCAAAAAGGTTGATGTGTGGATTCCACCAGCCCCAAAAGAAAGACAAGCACTCTCTTACAGAGCCTTCCAGCCTCCGAAACTGCATGGAGGCAGGCAGTCCTGGCTGGAAGGCAGTGGAGTTTTGGGGTGGGTGATCAAATGGTTTTATGCAGAAAGGCATTTCATGCACTCTCTTTTATGTCAGCCGTAAGAAAGTAGAGTCTATGAGAGCACAGTTCAAAGAAGGCTGGACTTTCAGTGGGGTCAGGCTGCATCTGTGTCCTTGCTTTGCTCCTTTGTTATTGTTATATGACAGTCAGTCAGAACCTCCTCTTAGCCGACCCTCCCGGAGCTTTTCTAAGACAGTAAATCACATGGGAGGAGATTTTCCATCTTTCTCCTATGGAGAAGCTAGTGGATTCCAACCTCAGCCCTTTGGGGCAGTAGGGCAGCTCCTGAGCAAATCCTGGCCAAGTGCATTTTACTCCTTGTACTATCAGTTTCTTCATGTGTTAAATTATTGATAATAATTTACTAAAGATCAGATAATATATTTCATGCAGAATGCTTTACAAAGAGTAGCTATGTAATAATTTATAGCTTATGAACCAGTTATGGTTTTTGTTTTCCAGCTTACAAAAGGGAGTGAGTTTAGAACTTCGTTCAGGGCAGTGAAGCATTAGTTAATCCTCTAGCTCTCCTGGTTTAGGGGGGTTTTGTTTGCTTTAGGTTAATGCTTGTGACTAGACCACAGAAAGTGACATTTCAAGGTGTACTTAACTAAAAAAAGAAAGAAAAAGATACTATTTACTCACTCAAGTTTTAGCTACTTAACTCACAAAATTACACACACACAGACATACAGTATACAGAAAAAAAATGGATTTTTAAAAACTATGTAGGCTATTATAAAGAAGAGTACATCCAGATATTTTAATTGGACTATAAAATATTTGAACTTCCATTAATATTTAAATAACAAAAGGTTTGTCATTTTATTCCTGCTCAGTTTTCTTTGGTCTTTTATAAAAAGCATTTCAAAGTACTAAAATAGATTCCAAAACAATTTAGTTATTACATGAATTGTTATTCATTGCTCTTGGAGGCCATCAACTATCCCAGCTCGGAGCATCCGTGTGACAGGGCAGAAGGTACCCCGTGTGGTTTCCTAGACTGTGCTGTTTCTGGAAGCACGTCAGAGCCACTGGGAGCATTTGAACTGTAGCCAGGCTTGAACCATTATGCCACCAGTGCTGTGCTGCAGCCTTTATAAACCAAAACTCACTGCCCTCAGGGCAGTCCCAAAGGCTCTGCTTATTATCATATCACGTCGGGTACTAGGAAGAATGTCTTCACACATGCATACAGTGATGAGCTTTTATTAGTAAAAATTCCTTGGCATATTCAATCCTATTAGGACTAATTGCATCATAAATGCATTACAGCTTGATTATCATTTAAGATTAATTTATACTTATATTCTAAAATCGAGAGACTGTAGGATTAGGGAAAGTTTGCTCTACTTTGTAATGTGTAATGCATGAAACCTAATTTTTTATAAAAAAAAAAAGGTATATTAATATTGTTCTCTCACATTGTAGGACTGGTTGTTAAATAAATTACCTTTATTCGTAGTTACAGAGATAAAGATAAGTTGTATTTGATGTATTTTTTTTAAATGTATTTGCACTTTCAGAGAAAGGTCCAAGAACTAAGTATACAAATAGTAACTGAATGGCCCACCCAGCCAAAAACTTAAAAACTAAATAATGGCCTTTCCCAAATATATCACATACCTTAAATTTGTTAGTCGTAATAGTAATAAAACTATCATTGTTTCTTGAGGAATCTTAGTTTGAAAGGTCAGCAATTTGTACAGAAGGAAGATGTGATTAGGAAGCCCTGTGGGTCCCCATGCGTTGGAATTCAATCATTAGTGCCCACCATCCTTTTCTTGAGTATTTCATCAGATTATCAGGTGCAACAACACTCACTTAAGCAAGATAATAATGTCCTTTTTTCAGATAAGGAAACAAGAATCCCAACAATGTCCATGTGCCCTGCCAGTGGAGAGCTGGGACCTGAACCCAGCTCTGATTCTCAAGGGGATACTTTGCATTGGGCTGCATTGTATCTTTGTACCTCAAAAAAGAAAGCTGCGTGCTTTGAGAGAACTGTCCTCCGTGAGCTGCAGGCTGACCTGCCCTGAAACCGTCAGTCATAAGCAGTTTCATGGCGGCTGCTCATTTGAGTTTGGTTAAAACAGTCCATTTTGTCCCTTGTTGGTCATAACAGAACCACACTAAGTTTATTTTGAGACGTTCACCATCCTATTGGAAAATGATAAACATTTTCATTAGCATGACAGTCGTGTAGACTGTGACCCAAAGGACAAACTGCCCTTGAGCTGGGGACAGGCTTTGTTTGTTGTTATCGCCAGACTCTTCAGCTTCGTTTTCTTCCTAAGCATCCTCTGCCGTTGTAAAGCACTCTTGTAGCAGTATTTGCTTAGCTTCTAATTTTGGTTTTGCTTTGTGTTTTCTCTCTTGGTTGTGCCTCTCTTCTTCCTGTGCCACTGTGTTTGCTCTCTCCGCGCATCATCTGTGAACTCCCCCGTGCCAACCAATCAGCTGTTGGTGAAGGGGGTGAATGAGACTCTGGTAGCTCAGAGGGTTGTTCCTGCTCTCATTACTCTCTCCAGTGACCCTGAAATGTAAGTGTCGGACCTGCCTTTTATGTTCAGCATCCCTTTCAAACTGTGTCTGTCAAGAAATAACCATCAGCTCCTACATGCAGCATTTTTCAAAAGACTGCAATTGGATGACGCTTCCTCCATTTTAAAAACTAATCGTATTAATAATCACCTGTCGCTTTGTAACATAACAATATGCTAATTTGGAGGCTTTGCATTGAAGAGAAGGGGGTCAAAAAACCCAACCAAATTTGTTGTCAGCAAACACTCTGAAAACCTCATGCGGGCTGATGGTCTGTTTCTTCCAAGCCAAGAAAGGATGCTCTCTCTGCTAACGTCACTAACAGGTGGTTGTACAGTAAGTGTAGTGGCATGAACCAGAGCCTTTTAACATTTAATGTCTCCTGTGGGTGACTAAGCCAGGAAAGGCCAGGGAGTCTGCCTGCCCATCCTCAGTCACGGCTAACCCAGTTCTCATTCCAGTTTACCAAACCATTTTTTATTGCATGTTGACTGGTTTGCAGCTGACTCTTCGAGGCATGAGTGAAGCGTTAGTTGACAAGCGGGTTGCTCCGGCCCTTGTTACCTTGTCCAGTGATCCAGAATTGTGAGTTTCACAGACTGCGACCTTAAGTTATCCTGTCTGTCTTTTTGAGCATTCTTCTTGGTCTGCTTTTTTATTTTATTTTGTTTTATTTGTATTTTGTCATTGCTAGAGACTAATACAGTGTATTTACCTTATACTTACTTTGATATACATTTTAATAATACTCAATTTTCATCTCAGAGAAAGTTTCAGTCTCTGTTGTTTTGTGTGTTTTTTCTGTTCTAACAGCTCTGTCAGGATTGCCACGATCCCCGCATTTGGCACTATTATGGAAACAGTCATCCAAAGAGAGGTAGGCGGTCACTGAGTTTTATTTTTGTCTGTCTACTCTTGAGGTTTAGGGAGCTCTGGTGACTTAGTGGAAAGAAATTGCACTATCAGCTCAAAGGTACACGGTTTGAACCCACCAGCTGCTCTGCAGAAGCAAGGTGAGTAGTCTCCTCCTGTGTGATTCACCACCTGTGAAAATGTGCTGGAGGGTCAGCTAGAATGCACTGCCAACTTGCCAGTATTAAACAGCAACAAACAATGGTTGGGCTAAGGAGCCCTGGTGGTGCAGTATGTAATCCATTGGGCTGCTGACTGAAAGGTTGGCAGTTTGAAGCCACCAGGCCCTCTTGGGGAGAAAGATGGACAGTCCCCTCTATGAAGATTTACAGCCTCAGAAACCCAGTGGAGGGTCATTGATGGCAGTGAGATTTTTACTATTGGGGTAACTGCGGTACCTTAAAAGGAAATTGCAAGCATCGTATCTTTTATTTATTAGTTGTAGACCAGAAGCAACTCTCAATATTTACAAACCTGATAGCCTTTATTCTATATTTCCATATACTTGGGAAGTTTTCAAGGAGCCCTGCTGATGCAATGCACTGGCCTGCTAACTGAAAGGTCAGGAGCTTGAGTCCACAAGCTGCTGCCTGGGAGAAAGATATGCCTCCTTTAAGATTTCCAACCTTGAACACCCGATAAAGAGTCACCATCAGTAGAAATCAGCTTGAAGGTAGAGGGGTCACCATGAGTTGGAATCAACTTGACCAAAGTGGGTTTGGGATTTTTTTTTTTCCGTTTTGGTTGGAAAATCAAGTGTAAGGTAATTCTCAGTTGTTCTATTTCAAGTCCATCTGGACACAGCAGTACTAATTTATTCTTCAAACTAGATCTAGTTCCAAAGCCCTCTGTTCTCCAGTAGGCTTTTGAGCTAGTCTGTATAAAAATTCCCAGTTGCCAGTTTTCACATGTTTGAAGACAGACCTCCATTTCGCACACGGTCATTTGTAGCACACTTAAATGTCACTAGTGAATGCCTCATATGTAACAGTAAAAACCCTGGGTTAGGGCCTCGGGAATCACCAGGCTCTTTGTCCTTCAGATCATACTCTGATCCTGAAATCGTGATTTAATTTAATGTTTGTTAAGTTCTGTTAGCATCGTTAACTGGAAGACACTTCCCAAAATTAATATACCAAGTTCTCCATTTAGTAATGGACATTTTTCTTTACTAGAAGGAAAAAAACTATTTTACAGATTTCCTTTTTCATACAGTTTTTTTAAAAGCAAATAATAATATTAATTAATGCACAAAGTTAAAGCATTTGATTAGTTATGGAAGTAAATGTTTTACATTTTCCACTTCAATATTTCACTGGTGAAGCCACACAAAGAAGCATAGCATTCTGCAAAGCTTGCAATCCTGGCAGAATTTCAACATGTCCTTGACACTGAGATAAAAATGTCTTTTAGGGAAATGTGAGTAAGCTGTAAGTCATTTAATGACTCACTGCTTCAGAAGGTGACTAATCGGACAACTTACACTGTGTCTTAAGAATTACAATTTAGTTATAGAACAACAGAAGCTTATCTTCTTTTCCCTAAATATTGTGAAAGTTTTTCTTCTCCTTTTACAATTTGGGAATATTTACCTTTTTTAAGTCTACCTCCAACCCCTCCCATTCACAAGCTTAAAAAAGAAATACTCAACAAACAAAAGCATTAACAAGTATATACAAAGATGTGAAAGCTTTTCTGAGTCTGAAAGGCTAACTATTTATTTAATTCAAAGCTTCATGTTTAATATGTATCTTTCTCTTTAACAACTTTACTTTTTTTTTTTTTAGTAGTTGATAACATGTACGTATTATTCCATTTTAAGTTGCTGGAAAGAGTGAAGATGCAGCTGGCTTCGTTCCTGGAAGATCCTCAGTATCTAGACCAGCATTCCCTGCACACGGAGATCATCAAGACATTGGGTAGAGTGGGGCCTAATGCGGAGCCCAGATTCCGAGATGAGTGTAAGCTGCGTTTCCTTGTCTTCTTTAGCCCCTGAATTCCAAAATTAGGAAAAGAAGCCTCTCAGTATTATCAGTGGATGAATTATGCAATTTCTTGTACCATATACACTGAGTCATAAGGGGGGGAAGTGTTATAAAAATAATTTCAAGTCATTTTCATTAACATTAATAATAATAATTCCTTAAAAAAATAATTTTAAGTAATTGAAAAAGAACATTTCCTAATATCTATTTATTACAAAGTACTGGGCTGCCTTATGTTTTTATCTTATTATCTAGTTCTTCTAAAGAAGTTTTTATGTTTCTAGTCATGTTCTTAGGAAAAACATGTTTTTCCATCTAACTTTTGATACAGCATTTGATGCTTTACTTGAGAGCTTGCTTGTCTGTGTTTGCTGTGTAGTGATTTTCTAAAGTCTTTTCTTCTATAATATTTCTTTTACTTTGAGTCTCAAATTATATGAAAATTATTTCTTTGGATAGTGTCACAATATACAGCATAATTATTACTTCAAATCCGTTGTGTTATCACAGTTATATTTTAGCCCTTCTATTTGTAGTAATTTGACACGTTGTGAAGAGGACCTAGAGTTTCTTTCTGTTTCCAGTAAAAATTTCAGTCCTCCATCAAATGAATTATGACATATTGTCTCTTTTTCTTTTAAAGATGATAAAATCATTAACAAAATAAATTATGTCCAAAACTCTATGAACTTTGAAAAACGACAATAGTTTAGGGAAAGACTTCTGGTCTTGTATTCATAGGGTTGTTCATAGTCATACTTGACTCGATGGCAAACAACACCACTACTTTTTAACATACTCCCCAGTCAGGTAGCTTCCTTTATAATACTTACTTTGAGGAATAGATTATCCTACTATAGAGAAGTTAATAATAAATAAAGTACAAACCATATCAAAGAATATTAACCCAAATAAGCTCATGGATTTGGTTCATTGGATTGGAGGCTAAAGTCAGTCACAGTTTCCTGGATATCCTATATAAATGGCCTCATCACCTGTCCACTGCTTCTGTTCAGCCTATAGTTTATTACATAGTGATGGTGCCTTTTGAGTTGGTTTCTGCTCATAGTAACCCTCTCTACAACAGATCACATCGTTCCCAGTCCAACATAACTTTTAGGGTCTTAAAAGTTACAAAGCGCTCATCCATAACACACCAAGCAACTGGGAAGATCAAATAGGAACCTTCCTTAATAGGCTTAATTTATGCTGATGAGAGAATAGCCCACAGAGGGCCAGTGAAACTCGCTGCACAACCTGAAGAATGCAGTCAGTGCCAATGAATTATACAAGCACAAGCTGTTGAATTAGTGAGTGTTCTTTTGTGTATATTCTTAACAGCAACAAAAATAACTAACTAGTATGCTTTGTAAACTTTAGCTCAAAATAAAGAAAATGTTATTTGGCCAGCACCTGAAAATAAGCCATTTGTTTGTTTTTTTTAAAAAAAGGAATGTTGAAGCTAATCCATCTATATTTATAGACATGTCAGTTTGCAAGTTTAATGAAAGGACAGGTAAGTGCTATAGCGGCTTATTGGACAGACTCTGAATCCTTGGCCCTTATTCAGCAGTCCTCTTCATCATTCACCCTCTTGGTGACCTTTCTGCTTTCCTAATTCTGTTACCAAAGTACTTTTTGGTCTTGTTTTTATTTCACAAATCAGTTGTTTTATCTGGAACATTATTCACTTTTTATTTTTTAATGTTTTCTTTTATCCTGGTTTACTTTTTCACGAAGATGCTCTGAAATGGTTTAGTCATACATTGAAGACGCCTCAGAGTGGCAGTATTTGAAAGACTTTTTCTTTTTTTTTAATCAAAATGGTAAATTATTATAAAATGCATTCATGTTGTATGTGCACATGTTAATTTAAGGGGCTTAGTTTTTGGGGTGTTTATTTTTAAGTAACAATTTGGTTTTTTCCCCCTTTACAGTTGTTATACCACATTTGCATAAGTTAGCCTTGGTGAACAATTTACAAATCGTGGATTCAAAAAGACTAGACATTGCCACTCATCTTTTTGAAGCCTACAGTGCACTTTCCTGCTGTTGTATCCTTGCCAAAGAATGTATGTCTGTGCTCTGTAACCAGTCTTACAGTGGGTCTCTGGGGTTGAAGCATGAGAAGTAAGGTTTTTATCTTCAGCTCATCTAAAGATGATGGAAAACTGAAAATTTTAGTGACTTCTTCATCTATAACTCTTATCATCTTTTAAAAAAATAATTTTAAATCTTCTGGGATTGCACATGGAATAATTTTGAAAATTATCAGTGGAATACTTGGTCTGAGTTTTATCTCTGTTAATAATATAACTAGGCAAGAAATTTAGGACAAAATTAATTATAGCTGAAACTTCTGTTATTCTCTTCCCTTTACGTTCTTGTTATAAGCTTTTTGTATTCCCTGGTATTTAGATTTTTCAGTGACTGCTTAATCATCAGTACCCAGTCAGTACCTAGAGAGAGACCCTTTATTGGATAAGAACATAGCTAGCACGGTTACTCTTCTCCAGAGAGGGCAGAGAGAGCTGGGAAATCCTCTAATCCGGTGTCAACACTGGGTTTTAGAAATGATTAAACTAAGGCTAAAATAGCAATGACTACTTTTGGGCTTTGTAGTATTAAAAAAACCCATTAAACTGTAACTAAAGCATGTTAATCATCAGTTAAATGCTGTCTTTACGACTTTATGTTAGTTCCCTAGTAAAATAAAACTAACAAGAAAGTGCAGGTAAAAATGGGCAGTATTCTCTTTTCTACAGGCAAATTGAATCTCAGCTTCGAGATACTTGTCTTACAAAGCACAAGTGTTCTAGAAAAGTGAAATAAGAGATGAAAAAAGACTATACTTGTTCTGTCCCCTCAAGTTGAAACCATTTGCTAGCTGACCCTCCAGTGGGTTCTTAGAGCCTATGACTCATTTGGGAAGAGATTGTCTTTCTCCAGGAGCAGCTAGTGGATTCGAACCCTGTGCCTTTAGATTAGCAGTGCAGGTCCTCACTACTAGGCCACCAGAGCAGAAATGAACTTCTAAAGCTATATAAGTGCATGCAGACAGTATAATCAAATAACCATGACAGAAATAAGTAATACTGGAAAGAGATTCCTAGTGATACTCAAGTGGAGAGAGAGCAAAGAGTTTCAGGATTAATATTTATGGTTTAACTTTGTATATACCAGTTCAAAGTAAAAAGCAATGTTTACAGGTACCTTTCAATAAGATGAATAAATACATTACAGAATACCATTGATACTGTTGACTCAGTCTCTTGACTGAAATATATGTGAACAGAGAGAGACTACATTTTAAAGATTGTACACCTCAACTATCTGTGTATCTTTTATGAGTCTAATTCCAATAAAAGCAGAACATACCATCTGGGGTTTTATTTTTCTTGTTGGCGTTTTCAGCTTGAAGGAGATAGAGGAAGGAGGAAAAGGGAACTGATACTCTAAATCACCAGGGAAGAACTCCTCAGGAATGGGGAAGTGGCAGGTCCTTGCCGTAAAGTAATAATGACATTTTGAGTTTGTGTCTCAATGAAGGAAAAAAACGCTGATACTCATACATGTTCCCTAGACTTAGGGAAAGTTGATGTTTAAAATTTAAGTAAAAAGTCATGGGTAATCCTATGTAGCAGAAGTTTCTAAAAGATTATGCCTCAATGAAAATTAAAAAGTCAAAAGATCAAAATTCTTCCTTTTGTAAAAGTGTATTTTCCAAGTGAGAAAGGCAACAATTTCAAAAGCAGTATCTGAACGTGGATAAAGAATGACTGCTGCTGTGTGTTGAGATATGCAGAGTTATACTAGAGCACGTACAGTGAAGAATACAGTAAGGGGAAGAACAGTGGTCCCTGCTGAAGTACTCAAATGTCAGTATTCAAAGTATCAGTTCTGGGAGTCAGAACTTGTACTGAGTCAACGGAGTGGCGTGGGCAAGATCCCTTTGTCTAAATTTGTTCAGCTGTCCGCTGCAGACTCTGCTGATCAGGACACCATCGTACAGAACTCCTTTCAGCACTGATGTCATCTCTTTGTAGGCACACATAGAATAACCATGATGAGTAGGATTCTGCACAATAATTGTTCAAGAAACCATGTTTAATGAAGCGCAAAAAAAAAAAAGAAACCATGTTTAAGACAAAGTTGAAAAAATGTCACTCTTAACCTGGATAAGAGTAGACTTAGAGGTGAAATCAGACACACTGTTGCTACAGTACAGCACTAACAACAGAAGTTGCAGAAATCAGGTGGGGTTTTTTTGCTTGAAAACTTTTGATTGAGCTGTCTGAAAATTCAGGGATCTCTTAGAAAACTGAGACTGTGTTGTCATTGTTCACGTTCATAGCCTCATGCCCATCCTTGAAGGATGAGGTAGAGAGAATTCCTGATGTCTGCTAGAAGCAAATGATCCTTATGTGTCCCCCCCCCCAACTCTTGAGATTCTGTAATTCCATGGGGAAAAGGTAGGGCCACACAGTAAGAAGAAAATGGCCTGCTTCCTGCCTCCATTGTAACGACACCTTCAGCTTCTCAGTCCGTGCCCCGATTTTTCAGTCCTTTCCCCATCAGACTTTTACCTAGTAACCCAAAGGTCCTGCTCCCAGATGTGTACTAAACAAGACTGCGTAACTGTTGGGTTGCAGCCTCTGGCCTGACGACAGTGTGTTTGGTACTACGCGATACCATATATTGTGGTTTCTCTCATTGCCTTCAAGTTGGAATTGACTCACAGCTGACCTCTTAGCAGGTTTCTGGAGGCTGTAAGTCAGATAGTCAGAGATTACCTATCTTTCTCACAAAGAGCTGCTGAGTGGATTCAAACTGCCCAAGAGGCACTGCTTTTGGGTGACTAGCCGCACTCCATTGACCTCAGCCACTGCAGCCCCTTCTCTACTTTTAGAACCACTGTTAATTCATAGAGAATTCCGGCACATAGCCCACAGCGAGGCACACTGCTGATCCGCAAGCTGCGCCTCTTCAGTGGTTTGGATCCACCAGCAGCTCCATGACGGGAAAGATGGGCCCTCTCCTCCCCTTGCCATTTGACAGCCTTGGAAAGCGGACTGGGAGGTCGGCTCGGAGTCGGAAAGGACGTCTTCGCTGAGTCATAGGTAAACAGTTGACCAAAGTGACGTTAGTTAGGTGGCAGGTTCTCAGTTCCAACACCTGCTGTGCAGGAGAAAGATGTGGCAGCCTGGGGCCCCACGGACAGCTCTGCTCTTCCTGTAGCATCTGCTTGAGTGGGAATCAACTTGATAGCACCAGATTTGGTGTTTTATTTAAATCACAAGTTTCTCATTGTTTGAAATGATGTCGAATTTTTATTTACAACTGCTTTCAAGGCAGTAGTTACATATTAAGAGCACGTGTATCTTGCATGCCAACCTGCTAATAAAAAAGTTGGCCATTCAAATACACCAGTCACTTCATCTAGAGAAATGGGCCATCTCCTCCAAGATTAATGGCCTCGGAACCCAGATGCAGGTCACCAGAGTGTGGATTAACTTGGTGACACTGAATCTTTTATTTGGTTTACTTTGTTTTGTTTACTAGGATGCTTTGTTTTCTTTAATTCATTTTTATTAGGCATCACATTATTTGTTTCAGAAAATACTGATATGAGAACTGACCTGTCCCTCTCCCTATTTTAATATGGCCTAATATTTCTTTTAAAAAAAGAGTATTTTTTTAATTAACAACCCTGATGAGAATGTGCCAGAGCTGACAGAAATGAGCAAGGTGAAAACTGGGAAGTGTAATTAATACCAAACTTACATAATTAAAAGTTCTCTGACCCAGTTCAATCAGGAGAACCAATAATCGGGAATCCAGAAGGGTATTTAAAGCAAGAAATCAGGACAATGGTATATAGCGACTATATTGTCTTTAACTTAAAATACATATGTATATTTTGTTTTTGCTAATCTTTTGGTGTAGGACTGAGGATTTTCTTGTGTGTGAATCTGCTAATGAGAATTAAACATCTTAGACAAACGGTAGGTGGTTCAGGATAGAGCAGGTTCAGAGCTCTTGTTTGTAGGGGCGGTAGGAGTGCTGGTCAACCACACTTAGCAGCAGCATGCAGAAGAAATGCAACAGCTTCAAGCAATTCACCTCTTGTGAAACTTTCCATGTAACTCACGGGAATAATTCTCTAACTAGCCATACTTTATATCATTTAAGTATTAAATGACATTTAATTTTAGATTCATTTCATATATTCATGTAAAATTCTTAACTCGTATCAGCTGTAAAAAATGTTTGAATGTGTCAGAAAACAAGTGGAAGACAGAAATAATAAAACAAAATTGACTTAATCTTTTTATGAATTGAGTTTACAAATCATACTGGTTTTTCACAATTGACTTGATAATTGATTTTATAGGTGGGAGTCTTTAAGGAAGTCAGTTGCCTGAAGTCAGTAAGCAAGTAATCTTCATTCTATTTAGGTATCAGTTGTGGTTTGTTTAATTCTCTTAACTACAGTGTCTTAAGTCATTTCGGAAGATTTAATGGTTAACCACTTTTTACCTGGTCTCAGATGTTTACGCATTGACATGGAGCACCTTTCTCCAGAGCATGAGGTGAGCTGCTGAACTGCTTGGGGCCAGAATCCACGATCAGTGGCCGTGTTCAGTTGGGCATTTCCTGTGCGGGCTTTCACTCTTCTTTATGTTTCACTATGAAATGCTAATTGTTTTTAACATCCAGCCCCATGTAATTCCCAAGTAAGAAATCTTACTTAGGAAATCTTGGGGAACTGGTTTAATTCTTGACAGTGGGTATAGTACCTTATACATCACTGAATATTAACAGATTTTTGTTAGAGAGTGTATTTAAAGCACTTTATAACTGTAAAATGTAGTCGAATGTTAATTATCTCTGTCCATTAATTTTCTTAGAAAGTTTGCTTTCACCACTTCCTCGTAATTCTTTCATTCTGTTCTACTTCTCTTCCTGCTTTCCTTCATGTTTTCTATAAAAATTTATGTTTATTCTGTTCTGTCTTTCACTTGTTTTCTACCATCTTTTTTCCTGCTTGTTATGCTTTATTCTCCCTTAATAAACAAAACAGAAAGTCCCCTTCTTCATTCTCCCTTCACGGTCTCCTTTCCATCCTGATGGTCTGAATGCCCTCTCAGCTTTCCCACTGTCTTGTTGGTACATGGCGGTCACTGACACCTCAGCACTCCAGTGAAACTGCTGTTCTTAAGTTCACTAGCACATTGTCACACTGAATGAGCACATGTTATGCATCGGAGCCTTGTGTGATGATTACAATGGCTATGAGTGGATCTGTATTACCTGGTATGTGTCTGTACTAAATGTATGTTGTTATGTGGTGTTGATTCAGTACTGAGGCAAATCACACAGGCGGAGATTGCCCTTCTCTGTCGTGTGGAGCAGCTGGTGGATTCAAACTTTCCATCTTTGGTTTAGAAGCACAACTCCTTACGATTAGGCCACCAGCACTGCTCTAAGTATGTGTGGGTGTGAATATACATATTTTGCTTTTGACATTAGTTGGTAGAGGAAACTAAAGGAGAAAGTGCACTAGATTTAAAGACAAGGCTAATGAAAACCAAATGAACGATTTTGTGGTTGAGATCTTTAAAAGCTATTTGTTCACTTGGTCTGGCAGTTAAACTTTTTAAATAACTGCTAAAACTTGACATTGTATACTGTTATTAACAATGTTGTTGTTGTTGTTGTTGTTGTTATGTGCCGTCGAGTCGTTTGCGACTCATAGCAACCTTTTGTACAACAGCCCTAAACCGTGCTCTATCCCGTGCCAATCTCATTGCCTCTGACACACCCATCCCAATTACCCCAGTCACTGAATCAATCCACCTCATAGAGGGTCTTCCCCTCCTGTGCTGTCCCTCTACTCTACCCAGCATAATGTCCCTCTCTAAAGACTTGTCTCTCCTTACAACATGTCCAAAGTATGTCAGGCGAAGCCCCAGAATCCTTGCCTCCAAGGAGCAGCCTGGTTTAACCCTTTAGCCAAGAGTTTAGATCAAACTTTAGTATGTCCCTGTGTAAACTAGACTTCACTAAAGTAGTTTTCTTTTTGTCAGGTTATCTTAACTTCTATGATAAAAGAATGTGAACAAAAAGTAGAGAACAAGACTGTCCAAGAGCCGCAAGGGTAAGAGGTTGATTTTTTTTCTTTTACATTCTGTCCAGCTGACCCACTCTTCTCCGTGTGTCCTTGCTATAGAGAGGCATTTGTCGTCTTTGTACTTTGATAGTCATACATTTGGAAGGAGAGAAATTATATCCAGCAAATATATTTCTCAAATACTGCTAATATAAACATCTTTTTCCTGTGTTTACCTCAGATTGCTTCCATTATATAATCTTTCTGGGGGAAAAGAAAGTTGACTTTTAGAAGCTGATTTTTGTCATGTTATTCAGCTTTCTCTGGTCTTACTGACTTTTAAGAATTTTTTACTATATAGAAAATTTTAAATAAGTATAAAAACACAATTAATATTGTGTCAGCCACACCCTACCGACTTTCCCCTCTATGTCAGTCTGTATCCCTGAATAATAATAACTGGGGGGTTTTTGGGAGGGGCAGTTAATTATTATTAAATTTTATTCGTTTTAATGAACATTTACAGAGATTTTGGGTTTTCATTCATTCATTGTTGCAAAATAACTGTTTTTTAAAAAACATAAACAGCTTCATCATATCAAAATAATCATAACCTCTTAAGAGCAGTTACTTGGCATGTGGTCACATTTCTAGTTAGAAGTGTTATAAGCAACTTGTTTGATTGCTTTTCTTTGCTGCCTATTTCTTTGACTCAAGACCAAAGTGATTTCTATATATTGCAGTTGGTTGATTTTTATCTTTAATTTCCCTTTCCAGCTCTTTTTTCACTCCATTCAGTTTACTTTTTTAAAAAATTGGGTCATTTGCCCCACAAAATTTTCCATCTGGATTTTATTAGTTACACCCTGATGACCTTTAACATACCATAGCTGAAAATTGGTGGTTAAGTTTAAGTCTAAAGACTTAATCAGATTTGCTTCTTTTTTATCTAACAGAACTACTTCACAGAATAAAGTGGATTTTTATCATGAAGCAGACAATGTCTGGTTTGGATTTTTTGTTGATTTGTTTTGTTGGGTTTTTTGAGTGTGTGATGTCAGCAACTATATTAATGATGAATACCTACATCCACTAATCCATTGGAGGCTATATGTGATAATTGTTACTGTTATGTTCCATCAAGTCAAAATCAACTGGTAGCTGATCCTCCAGCTGGTTTTCAGAGGCAGCAGATTGCACGGGAGGAGATTGCCCGTTTCTTCTGTAGAGGTGGACTCAGGCTGCTGCCTCTGGGTTGGTATCACACGTCTTCCCACTAGGCTGCCAGGCCTCCCCGTTTGTGCTAATACTTGATCATTTTTCTAAACTTTCCCATATCTGTTTGGCAACAAATTAACTGTGTGACTCATACAGTAAAGGAAAGAGAATTGCTTTATTTTATTACTATTATTGAGATTTTAATGAAAGTTTATAGGCAACTTGGATTTCCATTCATTCATTGTTGCGTATTTTTCTCCCTGCCTCCCTCCCTGCCAGTTCACTTTTCTGTTTTGGGGTGGGGGGGTCTTTAATTTTTATACAGTCTGTCCCTCCCCTTGCTTACCCCCCCCAAGTCCACTTTGCTATGCATCTCTTATTCTGGATTCTTGTCATGCCAATAATACTTGATCATATATTTCTTTTATACAGTTGTCTTCCTCATCTGTTTCAATGCTGTGTACATTATGTATCCCCTCTTTTCTTCGTTTTCCTCTAACCCCCATGTCAGTCCTATTTTATAACAGTGGCATTATATTTGTCCTTTTGTAACTGAAATATTTCACTCTGCATAATGTCCTCCATGGTCACTCATTTTGTATATTTCGTGAGTTCGTTTTTTTGGTGCTGCATAATATTCCACAGCTTCTCTAGCCATTCCTTTGTTGATGGACTCTTGGGTTGTTTCCAACTCTTTGCTATTGTAAACAAAGGCACAGTAAACATGGGTGTGCATATATCTGCTTGGATGGCAGTTCTGGTTTCTTTCAGGTATATTCCCAGTAGTGGAATTGCTGGGTCAAATGGTATTTCTATTTCCAACTTTTTGAGAAAGTGCCATACTGTTTTCCAGAGTGGTTGCACCATTTTATACTTCCACCAACACTGAATAAGGGTTCCAGTTTCTCCACAGCCTTGCCAGCATTTGTTGTTTGCTGTTCTGTTAAATTTTGCTCTTCTGACTAGGATGAGATGATATCTCATAGTTGCTTTGATTTGCATCTCTCTTAGAGCTAGGGATTTTTAACATTTCTTCATGTGCTTGTTGACCATCTGAATGTCTTCTTTGGTGAAGTGTCTGTTCATATCTTGTGCCCATTTTGCAATTGGCTTGTTTACCTTTATCTTGTGGTGTAAATGCTTTATTCTTTATTCTGCTTTTATATATCAGTTTCTACAATATTGGATACCTTTTTTTAAAAAAGGAATAAACCTTTTATACTGGTTTACTTAGAGTTCGTATACATTGTTTTTCACACCGAATCTTTCCTATTTCCTTGACTCACCTTTTTCTCCTCCCAATAATGGATGACTTTGATGTATAAGTCATATAGTAAAGGAAAGATAAATGCTCAGATTTGTTCTCTTTAAGTTCCTAGTATAATAAATTGGTTCACTCTCTAATGGTTAAGTGTTATTTTAGTGCATATATTTATTACCCTTGCTGATGCTTCCATCTTTTGTCAATGTAAACCTTTTCAGGCTGAAAACCATTCCATTTAACATGACCCTTTCTTGCTGTTTTGACAAAATTATAAACTTTCTTTAAAAGAATGGTTGGATTTTTTAAGAAAAAATTTTTTAGAGGAGATAGTGGTGAGTTTGTGTCTGAATTGTTCCTAATGATTTTAAAAACACTACTATATTTTCCTAGTTCAGATTATGAGGGTTGGTGACATGGATTTCTTTTATCCTTTTTGTTTTCAGTTAACATTGTAAAAATCTTTTTGGCAGTAGTTTACATTTGTTTAGTAGTTCCTCCTCCTTTGTGTTTCCAAATGTGAAGGCTCAGCCTCAATTGTTTAGTAACAGAATGCCATATAAACATCAGGCAATGAAGGTGAAGATAACCAAAATTAGCAGTCGGTTAATCTCTGATTTACTAATTCCTGTAATTAAAGCAAATGTGGGGAAAATCAAGGTTATGCGGATCCTCCCATTGGGGCTATCAGGAAACTCAAGTCATTGTGAGAGCTTCACATAAATGTCAAAGAAATTATAACAGAACCAGAGGAACCACCACAAGGATTCATGTCCAGAAACCATAAGAGTGCACGAGATACACATCTCCAGTCAGATATGACTGGTCAACCCTGTCTCAGCTGCTGGCTAAATAAATAGAGAGTGGCCTTCCTGCCCTGGGGCCCGGTCCGAAGAGACTGCCGAGAGGCTATGAGTGCATGGTCATGCCAGGCTTTTTTGTTCTCCAAGTCTTAAAGGATTCTCTCTGCCAGGAATATTCTTCCTCTTTGCCTGTCTCATACCCGTTCACCCTTCGGGACTAAACTTAAGAAAGCCTTCCGTTGATCACCTGTGTGTTTTCGATCACAAATCTGTTACAGATCAGAAACGTAAGTGGGAAAGCCTTGAAGAATAAAAGGAAGTACCAAGATGGAAGAATAGGTTTAGATAAAGGTATTCATCTCTGGAAAGTGCCCTGCTGATGGCAGGGGAATGTGAGCATGAAGCTTGTGGTTTAGATGAGATCGGGTGTATTCAGGGCGTTCCGGCTGTACACAGGCTGGTGGTTTAGACGAGATTGAGTGCATTCAGGGTGCAATGGCTATACACGAGCTAGTGGTTTTGAGCACTGTTGGTGCAGTTTCAGGTTAGAGTATGCCCTCCGGTGCATTCCATCTGTTAGGATAAGTAACCCACCACCACCACCTCACGAGAGGTGGGGTTGACTAGAAAGTGAATGAATGAGAGCTCCTTGGAGGCAAAGATGATAAAGCTTCATCTCACATACGTGAGCATGTTGCTTGGAGAGGCTGTCATGCTAGGGAAGGTGGAGGGATAGTGAAAGAATGAAAGGCCTTCAACCAGACAGAGTGATGCCGTGACTGCAGGGATGGGCTCATATGTGTCACATTGTAAGGATGGCACATCCAGGATAGGACAAGGTTCGTATCTGTTTTTCAGAGGATCACTGTGAGTCGTGCTTTACTCAGTGGCACCTAACAACAACAGGTAATGAACTACATCCCATGTGGAAAGGGTCATGTTACTTCATGAGTCTTTGTATGTTGTGCAGTCTAGGACGTTATGCATGGTGCATTGCTTACCGTGGAACTGTTTCCGAAAGGTTCGGAAAGCCTTGATCCACAAACAGAAGAGAACATGCATAGCAGTTTGACACCTTTCCTATATTCACCCAGCATTCAGTAAAATTCAAAGCGTTCCCTCAGGCTTTTGTCAAAGATGAGCGGGAGTGTAAGGCAGGGTCCTTTTCCGCCCGGTGTTCACAGGGGAAAGCAGAGTGACAGGCAGCAGTTCCACCATATAGACCAAAGCTGAAGTAACTACTAAACATGTTTCCTGGAGGAAAGAGTACACGACTCTTCAAATATGAACTGTTAGCCAAAACGGTGGAAAGGGATTACATGCAGAAATGTCAGCAAACGAACCAAAATTATAACAGATGATGACTAGGAGATTGTAAGTAAAGCCAGAAGGTGGAATTTGTGTTGGAGAATGAGTCGTAAAGGTAGGTTGCCCTGTGCCTTCCGGTCAGTCCTTACTCTTAGCGACCCCTGAGGGAGAGGAGAAGCCCCATATGAAGGATTTCCACAGCTGCCTCTTTACAGGAAGGAGCCATTGGGCACCTGGTTAAGAGAGCAGGTGCTGACCGAAGGGTCTGCTCTCCACACCCACCAGCCAGCACTGCCCATGAGAACGATGTGGCAGCCTGCTCATGTGGAGACAGCCTTGCAAACACACTGGGACAGTTTCTCTTGGCCTGTGGGGTAGCTGTGAGCCAGAGGCAACTGGATGGCTATAAGTTTGGATTTTGGTCATTCCTGGTATTTTGGTTAATCTCTATGGAAGCAGACAGCTGCATGTTTCTCCTGTAGTCTAAGTGCTTAACCACTGCCCCACCAGGATGTGAAAAGGAAGGAAACATTATGGAGCTGCAAATGCTACCCTGAGAGGTTTGGACTTTATCCAGCTGGCCAGAAGTCACCAAAACTTTCTACAAAGATAGAAAATACCTTCTGTAAATATTTTTGGCTTTGCTGACCATATAGTCTCTATCACAGCTACTCATTTCTGCCATTGTGCCAAGAAAGCCCCCACTGACACCTGCAAACCAGGGGGCATAACTGTGTTCCAATTCAGCTTTATTTACACCACTTGGCAGAGGGATGGATTTAACTTATAATCCTTCATTTACCAGCTCTTGGGAGTTTTATTTGGGGTGTTGGAGAAGAATACTAAGTAATATCCCTTGAACTGCCAAGAGAACAGGTTTGACTTGGAGAAAGTGGAGCCAGAGGACTCCTTGGAAACAATGATGGTGTGTCTTTGCCTTGCATACTTAGGGCATGTTAGTAGGATGGGCCAGCCCCTGGAGAAGGACCTCATCCTTGGAAAGGTGAAGGGTCAGTAAAGGAGAGGAAGCCCTCAACCAGATGGATTGACACAGCAACTGTAGCAGTGAGCTCGAGTGTGTCAGAGACAGTGAGGACGACACAGGAGAGGGCAGGGCTCTGGTCCGTTCACAGTCATTGTGAGTAGAAGTTGACTCAAGGCACAACAACCTTAGTGTGTGTCAGAATCTGCAGAGTTCTGGTGCTGAAGGAAGAAGATCTATATGGTGGGGGTGCAGTTTGAGGATTTGCATATCCAGTGAGTTCCCAGGTAAGAGTGATAAACAACAGACTAGGCAAACTTGATCCTTGGTGCTGATGGTCAGGAAAACAAGAATTAGATTGCTGAATTCTTTGAATGGCAGCCTCCCTTATCCCTAGGTTTTAAGTGGCTGTTAAAAAAAATGTTAGCTGGGATATGCTATGAAGTAATTGTTTAAAATGTTGATCTGTTAATGTAAGGAGACCTAATCCAGTACCATTGGAATAATCAGTTATAAAGTATTGTCAGTGAACATTAAAGGAAAACATATAAATCATTGAATAATGACACAGAATTAAGGAGTGATTGGGGAAAGGAGAAGACATTCTGTAATATGAATATTTATGGTGGAAAAGAAAGGAAACTGGTAGAAATGAATATAAGGCAATTGTTGCTAAAATTTAGATCAGAAAAAAGATTGAGATGTTGACTTTAGCAAATAGAGTAATATGGAGTTGGGTCTCAGGAAAGAGTTTGGATCTCGGGAAATGCAGAATAAGCATTTTGCAGTCATCTTCATGTACGTGATACTTGTAAGTTTGAGAGTGGGTGAATTTTGCTGTTAAAGAACCAAGCATCAAGTACTGGTCTTTCTGTGGGTTACCTCGTGTGCAGAAGAAAGGCAACAAAGAGCAGACCCCAGCAGTGAGAAAGAGGCCAGCTTGATAAACGAGCAGAAGAGCGAGGGATGGAGAGTCTCAAGGTGGAAGGCTTGTTTGGTTCTTAAATGGATAATTGATGACACATTTTTAAAGACTCATTGGAACCAGAGGTGCTGGGCAGCCCGCACTTCCTGTGTAAATTCATCCAGCGCCTGCTAAGCTGTTGAGTCTTGCCTCATTATTCCTAACATGCCCAGAGTCTTTGTCTGATTTAATCCTCAGACTGTTTTGCAATTGGAATTGCAGTCTGTATTGCAGATGAAGAAATGGTTCATGGGAAAAGTCTAAAGTGTCTTGTCCAAAACGACGCGACCAGTAAACTGAGTCTGTTGCAGCGTAGTTGGGGCTTAAAAATGTGTACTAGATTTTTATCCCCTGCAGAAGAGTATTAAGTCAGCAGTATGGTAGTCACTCTTTAATTATTTTTTTAAGATTCTTTTGCTCCCTGAAGGCAAGTTGGTCAAAAAGAAAGTTCAAGAAAAGGGTTTGAAGCTATTGGGGTTAATAGAAATGAAGGTTTAAGGTCTGCCTGCTTTCCACCCAAAAGACCTGAAGAATTGCAATCCTAAAATTACCCTTTACACAGTACAGAACCTCACTGTGATTTCCTTGACTCACTAACTGAAAGGAGGTTAACATCTCACCTTCTAAACTTGCTGGAAGAAATAACCGAGGTAGTGCCGACAGGAAGAGTAACCATTGACAGGTGCTGCTTTGTGCCTGGCACTGCACCCTAATGGCAAGAAGCTGCGCTGTAATCCTGAAGGCATGGAGTTCGAGGCCACCAGCTGCTCCCAGGAGAAGAAGGATAAGCAATCTCCTCCCATGCGATTAACTGCCTCTGAAAACCCACCAGAGGGTCAGCTATGGGTCGCTTCCAACTCGATGGTACACAACAACAAACAGTTTGTCAGATACAAAACCTGCCCCCATTTTATAAAGGAACAGCAATTCCACCACTTTCCCCAGGTCACGCAGCTGATAAATGACAGCTAAGATTCCGCCTCTTCCCAACGTCCTCCTAACCTACACCCTGTCACTCCCCCATCAGCACTGGGTTTTCTTTGGACAGGATTTCAGATTGGTTTTCTCAATGGCACGTAAGTAAATAGGAATAGAGTGTTCTTTTTAATTGCTTTCCATGGATTTTACATTTTCTTCCCCAGCTCAATGTCAATTGCTGTAAGCTTAGTGAGTGAAGATACAAAGACCAAGTTTCTGAACAAAATGGGCCAGTTGACCACCTCCGGGGCCATGCTGGCCAATGTGTTCCAGAGAAAGAAGTAAAAGCGGAAGGAACCTCCAGTGAACACTAACGGGACCGAAGCTGACTGGGTCCGTGAACTTGAAGTACTTGCCTTTTTCATTTCCTCTGTTTTATGTTCTCTCATTATCATTTTATCCTAATCTCCAAAGATATTTGCACTGCTATTGATTATTGCTGTATGTTTGTTTATTTGGGTTATAACTGTGGTGATAGAAAATGGAGTTTATAGTTTGTACCAAGTCCCTCTTCTGTGTTCTTGTCTTTCAAAATAATTTTATATATGTATATATATTATACAGTGAAGAGTTTCTTGTTTTGTTTTGTTTTTTAATTTTGGGGTGGGATATTAGCAAATACCTGTATTATACACTGAGCTTTACAATGGTACTTAAAAATAATGTAAATTTGAAGTCATTGTTATAAAGTAATAAAAGTGGAGATTACTTAAGTATTTAAATTATGAAAGAATAATGCAGACTTTTTATTGTTTCCTAACCGACTGGAAAGAGCCACCAGCATTAATTACTCTGTGCCTTTTGGACTTCAGCTTGTGTGTTCTGTAGGAATTGTGTGCATTCCATTCACACAGTATTTCCTGAGGATACTGTGATGAACTTGAGTTACAAACCCTACAGGAAATAGATGATAATGAAACTCCACATGGCAGCGCTCTCATGACTATTTTTTAAGTGCTATTTAACCCTCCCCTGTATTCACACACGTGTAACGGACTTACCATGTATGAGGAGAGAGCACGCATGTGGGGAGTGCTCACCAAGGTGAATTTTACCATCTGGTGTGTCATATATTTAAATGCTCAAGAGCGAGTGTGAGAGACATGCTAACAGTTGTGAAAATTCTCTCAAATTGAAATACAGGAGAAAATGTAGTTTGAACCTGAAATTTAACCTTTATTATTGTGTGAAGTCTTTTATTTAAGACATTTTCTAATGGTTTGCATTTCAAGTATTAGCTTTTCATCCTGTATATGATGGAGAAGTACCGAAAAGTTAAGGATGGTGAGACTGCTCTTTCCCTCTGATGGCATTGGCTAGTTTATTGGTTAGTTCCCACATCGCCCATTCACGTCTGTGACTGTTACTGTATTTGATATATATATTACATAGAGTCTTAAGTCAGTGTACCAGTTGGTGGATGGACTTGGAGGTGGAACCAGGGTGTTGATTGTCCGACCAGTTAATGTGAAACCTTTTTGAAAGATAAGTATTTTGATAAAGAGATTCTTGGTTGAGCACAGTTGATGCACACAGGTGATTCTCCTATTTGTTGTATAAAACTAGTTTAATACATTTGAAACATAGTTAAATCACATTCACTTCTGGGAAAACTAGCTTTCCACACATTCAGGCTTATCAAATGATTTGCCAGAGGCAAAGCCATTAAAGAAATTAATTCTAAAATTATTTCTTTCACACGCTTTGATCAAATTGTTGACTCACTAGTCAGTCATTTTGGAAACTGTTGGATTCTAGGCATTCCTGAGAAATTGAAAGTGGCTACCTTTCATGTCAAAAATGTTGATCTATTATAAATAAAATGTTTTGCATACTTTCTTGTTTTGCTTTGTTTTTTTGGCTCTGTGCTTTATTTTCCATTTGCACACCATATCCACTATATAAGCAGAATTGAGAAAGCATATATTCCCCAAAATGTACTGTTACTTCCTTTTCGTATGCAATTTGTACAAACTACTTGATCTACTGGAAAAGAGATTGTGTTGCTGTATAACTTATACATTTTCAGAGATAATTTAAAGAAAAATGTTTTACTGATTTTCTCTGAACTGTAATAGAATAACTGTTACTTAGTGGATGAACAGATAAAATATAATTCTTACTAATTAGTGCATTCATACATTTAAATGACTCTTTAAAAGACAACAGCTGCCAAATGACTGAATATATTCCAAATGAGTCTCCTTTATTATACTCAAAAATAACTTAGTAACATTTCACATTTAGTGGTACTGATTTTTATAGTGAAATATGAATGCTTTAAAGAAAGCCATGACAAGCACTAATCACTGAGATATGGAGTGTGCTTTAGAAAAACAAACCTTTCTCCCTAACTTTTTTCACCAGAGGTTTGAACCTATTCACTCAGGTTTGATGCCCTGCTCAGAATTTACATTGTAAGCATTGGTGGCCTAGTGGTAAGAGCATACAGTGAACCCCAAAGCCATACAGTTCGAATCCACAAGCTGCTCCGCCAGAGAAGGGTGAGCAGTCTCCTCCTTTGTGTCTTACTGCCTCTGAAAACCACTAAAGGATTTTCTGCTGAACTGTGAATAAGTTCCAACTCAACAGCACACACCACCACCACCTCAGGGTCCACCCTGCCTGCACTCATCTGCCGGACTGGCCAAGTGGACTGCCCTAGACACCTCTAGACCAGCAGACACTCCCCCTGCCTAGATTCCTGGGCCAGCCCCACCTCTTCTGGACTCTCCCAGATGTTCTCAGCACCTTCTCAGATAAGCAGACACTCTGCCCCAGATGTGCACCCTAGATTTTCTGAACTGTGCTCCAGACAGACATCTTGCCGTCATGTACCACAGCAGTGCCAATCAGGTGCAACCCCACCACTCACCAGAGGGCCCTCCTTTCTCTCTTACCTTTGATATTTGGGTTTTGGAGTTTGATTGGTGATTGGTTTTTAATTTGTTGTTTTTGTTTCTGGTTTTGTTCTTCATTTCTTTAGCTTTCTCTTGTTCTTTTTTACTTTTTGCTTTTTTTTCTTTTCTTGTATTTTCTTTTTTCCTTTTCTGTTGAGGTTTTCTTTCTATTTTGTACCTCTCTCACTTTTGGTTTCTCTTTTACTCTCCACTCTTAGTTTTGTTTTTTACATGTTTTAGCTCTTTTTCTTTGTCCCACCTAGCAACATTCAGCAATATTATCCACACAGCCCAGTCACACACACTCACACCCCTGTACTTTCACCCATTGGACAGAGTAAAGACTAGCTTCTGCCCCCAACTTATGAACAACAGAACACAACTAACAGCAGACCATTCTGTCCTCATCTTTATATGAATAGTGAACAGAATGTGAAAACACACCTCCATCTTCTGTCACGACACCCTCCAGAAGACAGGAGGTCGAAGAATGGCCAAACTAGCCAGCTATAGACAATAAGACACTTGCATAGTTGAGTCGAATAATCTACAGACACCACAGTGCCCTAGGGACAACGGGTAACTTCAAACCCCTCCAAAAAAGTGGGAAACCATAACACCAAAAGAAGGCACCTAACTAAAAAACCAGGTTGGAACTTCAGGGTAAAGAATTAAAAAGAATGATAGTCAAGTATCTTATACAGATTGAAAAATACTAAAAGCAGAATAATTTAAAAAACCAGTTCAAGACCAAGTAAATTAAATAAATGGAAATTAAAAACAACTTGAAGTTGTAAATAGAAATACAGTTTGACCTAGCAATTCCACTACTAAGAATAGATCCTAAAGAAATCAGAGCCATGATTCAAACAGATGCATGCACACCTGTGTTTACTGCTGTGTTATTTATAATAGCAAATACATGGAAGCAACCCAAGTGTCCGTCAACAAATGAAGGGATAGAAAAACCATGGTAGGTTCACACAGTAGAATATTATGCAACATTGAAAGATAACGAACTCATTCATAAAACATTATGTAAGAGAGGACATTACGCTGAGTGAAATATTTCATTCACAAAAGGACAAATACTGCATAACACCACTGGTCTAAAACAGGACATAATTGTGAAGGGTTGAGAGAATGGAAAAAGAGTGAATAACATTGCTTTAGAACAGTTGAGGGGAAGAACTGTCCGAAAGGAAAATCTGATTGAGGATTTCATGTATGACAGCAGTCTGTAATATGGGGTGCATTGCAGGGTGGAGAAGGGGTGGGGTGAAAAAATGTGCAACAATGAATTTAAAAAAAAAAAACACCAAACCCAGCAAATTGAAATTCAGAACATTGAGACTAAAATTTCAAATATAAAACAGTAAAAGATGAAAGAACTGGAAAAAAAAGTTGGTAAAATGGAAGACACAGTCTTCAATACTAATCTGTTATAGGAACAATGAAGAAAATAAACATAAAATTGTGTGGTGCATCATTTGGAGGTATAATTTACATGTGACTGAACTTCAGAACAGCCAAAAAAACAAAAAGCACAGAGGAAATGATTGAAGATGTGCTGAAAGAAAATGTCTCAGATAAGAAAAGTGAGGCAAGTATGCATTCAAGAGGCTCAGCAAACCGAAATCAGGATAAACTCCAAAAGAAAACATCAAAACATAATCATAATTCCCAAAATCAAAGTAAGACAGAAGCACAAGGAGATGAAGAGTTTACCTATGAAGGAAATCATGTAAGAGTAAGCGATGACTTCTCAGTAGAACCATACAGAGAAGAGAGACTATGAATACCATACAAAACACTGAGAAGAAAAAATTGCTACCCAAGGATGATGCACCTACTAAATGACCCTTCAAATGTGGTACTGAAATTACAGCATTTCCAAATAGAAATTAATTAAGGCAATTTGTAGAAACTACAAACTTTGTAAGAAATACTAAAGGGAGATTTTCCCACATGGAGCCAACAGTAAGAGTACCTCAAAATAAGCATACAAAACAGCATGCAGGAATTAACCCAAGCAGTAATATAATCAGTAACTTAAAAGACTAGAAATAATCTCTGTAAATGTTCATTAAAACTAATAAAATTTAATAATTTTTAAAAAAAAAACAAAAAAAGACTAGAAATACGGACAAGGGGGATCAGTTTGTAAAATGAGGACAACTACAAAACAAAAAGAAGGCATGAATAATACAAACCTTGCAAATGAAGAGGAAGTCAAGTAGAATTTAAGGTAAAATGGACTCTTAAACTTGGTAATAAAATAGCAACTTACAGGGTAACCTTCAAGAAAATAAATAACACAATTTTAAAAAGGAAAGTCTTAAAAAGCTGTTGTTATGTGCCACTGAGTTAATGTATGATTCCTAGTAACCCGATGAACAACAGACGTGGATCTTGCCGCATTCTGTGTCATCTTCATATATTCTCATTCTCATATGTGAGCCCATTGTTACTATGTCAGTCCATCTTGTTCAGGGTCTTCCTTTCTTTCATCCAACTTCCACCTCTCCAAGCATGATGTCCTTTTCCAAGGACTAGCCTCTCCTAACCAAATGTCAAAAGTGTGTGAGACAAAGTTTCACCATCCTTGCCCCCAGGGAGCACTTTCTCCTAGACATTTGTTCTTGGCAGACCATGAGATACTCAGTGTTCTTCAAAACCGCAACCCAAGGCCATCGATGATTCTTCTATCCTTATTGCTCAACTTTCAGATGCATAGCAAGTAATTGAAAAGAGGATGGCTTGAATCAAGTGTGCCTTCATCTTTAAACCAGCATCATTGCTTTTTAGGACTTTGGAGAGGTTTTTGACAGCAGAT